TCGAACCATCGCTCCTCCTGAATCCTCCTGGGAGGCGGGGGGGGGTGAGCTCTGGGATGTCGCCACGTCCTTGACGAAGTCGGAGCCCTACGCAGGAAGGTCGGGCATACCCTCCTAACTGCAGGGTGGCGGCCTCCGAGCCCTGCCTCCACGAACCATCGCTGCTCCAGGAGAAGGACAGGAGGCTGTAAACATCAACTTTTGGCGCTCCGCGCGGATTTCTTGGATCTGCGCCGGACCCCCCTCCCTGGCGCGCGGAGCGCGCCAGGGGCGGCGCCGGAGGCGCCGCCGGGGAGGCCCGGCGGGGATCCAAAAAATCCGCGCAGAGCGCCAACAGTTTATGCATATGCCGTATTTTCTTCTTCGAACAATCGCTTCTCATGAATCGATGGGAGGCGAGGGTAGGGCTGGAACTTCGCCACGTGCTCGACAAATTTCGAATCCTACAATCAAGCTGCTACCACAAATAATGCCAGCTTTAGGTCGGGCATGTCTTCCTACAGGCGGATTTTGCAAGAAGAATGAAACATAGTCAAAGGACACTCAACACTTGTCAAGAAATATTCGAAAGATTGTCCCCAGCTTTTGTTTGACTAGTTTTGCATTTCCTTCCCTGTAGAGGGACATGCCCGATTTAAGGACAGGGTTGGGATTTCGCCACGTGCTCGACGAATTCCGATCCCTGCAGTCAAACTGCTACCACAAAGAAGGCCAAATAAGGAATGAAGGAAGCCACTTTTTCGGCGCGAGCCGCGCCAGCGTGCATGCGGAGCGCCAACGACACAACCATGGAAGGACCCAAGGAATGGCGAGCCCCCTCCGAACCCCAAGCGGCCCTCACTTCGGCGTCTTGACTGTCGGGGTGGGCCCTTCGCCAGGCAATACAGTCAGACCTGGGACAAAAAGAACATCCGTCAAGCACAGGCAGCCCTCCGTCGGCCAAAACACACACACACACACACACACACACACACACACACACACACACACACACACACACACACACACACACACACGCACACGCACACGCACACGCACGCACGCACGCACGCACGCACGCACGCACGCACGCACGCACGCACGCACGCGCACGCGCACGCGCACGCGCACGCGCACGCGCACGCGCACGCGCACGCGCACGCGCACGCGCACGCGCACGCGCACGCGCACGCGCACGCGCACGCGCACGCGCACGCGCACGCACACGCGCACGCACACGCACACGCACACGCACACGCACACGCACACGCACACGCACACGCACACGCACACGCACACGCACACGCACACGCACACGCACACGCACACGCACACGCACACGCACGCGCACACGCACGCGCACACGCACACGCACACGCACACGCACACGCACACGCACACGCACACGCACACGCACACGCACACCCACACCCACACCCACACACACACACACAGACACAGACACAGACACAGACACAGACACACACACACAGACACACACACACACACACGCACACACACGCACACACACACACACACGCACACACGCACACACACACACACACGCAGAACGTTCGAGGGTGCCCTCCTCAGGATGCACAGAGATATGCCAACACGCTTGCACAGAGAACAGTAGGGTGCCCTCCACGGACCGAGCGCGATCTTGCACCTCTGTCCGACTGTACCCTTCGGGAGCGGCCAGGAGGGGGGCGTCCAAGAGGGGGGGGTGAAAATCATGGCCGGCGGCACGTGCGCGGCACAAGGGGGGGCCAGGGACGTAATGAAACACAAAGAGGCGCAATGAAATCTTGGGAAATATCATGGCCCACGCCATGATATCCAACCCCCCCCCTAGTCATCACCCCCCTCTTTGCCGCTCCCGAACCCTGCCCGCGGCGCCCTGCTATTTTTTTGTCGGGGCTGGGCCGCGCAGGAGGAGGACCCTTCGGGCGTTGGCAGAACTGGATTTAGTGGGACCTGGTTTAGTGATTTGTACTCGGGGGCGCCCCCCCGCCCGGTTCCACTGACCAGACCTACCTGCCGTCACCCGAAAAAACACCAACTACGGCAGACCTGGTGTAGTGATTCTGGCCAGTTCAGGGGCTCCCAGGCCCCACCACTGACCGGGTCCCCTTGCCCCGGGGGCCTGGCTGTACCCGCACCCTGCCCGCGGCGCCCGGCTTCGTGGGAGGAGGACCCCGGCCGTCCCTCTCCCGGAGCGGGCGCCTCCACGGGAGGCCCCGCCGGCCGCCCGCTGCTCTCTCCTCGGGAAGAGGGCGCCCTGATCCGAGTGGCAATGCTAGGGGAGGACCAACCCAGGAGGGGAAGCATCGACGTATGCTGCTCCCCAGGGCTGAACCTACGCGGTGTTTTTCGTTTTCGTTTCGTTTTCGTTTTCCCTCGTTTTGTCTTCCATCCGCCTTTACCGCAAATCGAAGTCGAAACGAAAACGGCCCACGAAATCGCCAAAAAAACCGTTTAGGTCCAGCCCTGCTGCCCCCATCGTACTTAAGGACCACATCCCAGAAGTAACTCCGAGCACCCAGCAACGTGTCGAAAGAGTTACGAAACAGTGTCGGTCGAGCGTCTCCCAGGGCCCGACACGTGAACACCCTGGAGTTTTCGGCACTTTGTCTGGGGCTCGGAATTCTTTCTGGTGGTCAAGGCTACAAGTAGGCTGGAACACCATGGGCATCGACCTACACCCACGCCAGCTCGCCGCCCTCTCATCGACTACCCGACGACAGCGCACGCAGGAAACGCGAGGACACGCAAGGCCCCCATGAGCTGCCACCGCAGCAGAACCCCCGAGGCCCAGACGGCCTCGACCCTGGACATTCGAACTCTCAACGTTTCACGGCGAGCAGGGCTGCTCTTTCGCACTGCTTCCGGGTAGCGGTCGTTACAAAGGGGGGGGGAATGGGGGTTAGGGCCCCGGGCAACGGTGACGCTTGGGCGTGGTGAGGCGGGTCGGGGCGGGGGTGCGCTGCGATCTCCGTAGTATGCGCGCGAGCACCAGCATGTGGTGGGGGGGGGGTCCAGCCCCCGCCCCTGCACTAAGTACGATAGTTGCTGCTACCCTGGGGGTGGGAGGGTTTGGCCCGGGTAACGACCGTTGCGCGCCAAGAGGACAACGCAAAACCATCTCCTCGAAGTTCGAGGCATGGAAATGACACGACGCACTGGGGCCTGGCTAAACGGGCCCCCTGCCTCTTGGAGGCAGCCGGCGGTTCTGCACCAGGGCTGAACCTAAACGGTGTTTTTCGTTTTCGTTTTGTTTTCGTGTTCCTTCGTGTTGTCTTCCATCCGCCTTTAACGCAAAACGACATCGAAACGAAAACAGCCCACAAAATTGCGCCAAACACTGTTTAGGTCCACCTCTGTTCTGCACTGGCTGGGGCCCCACCCCGAAAATTTGTAGCCGGGATGGATTGGAAAGGGCTACATTGCCATAGGAATGCAGAAGGCACGGGCCTCTCGAGACAAGATACAAGGGTACCCTTGAAGTTGGTTCGGCATGGTCGGCCTACGAATGAGGGCCGACTGTGGGGAGGACGGGGTGAAGCCAACTCCGCTCAACACCTGCTCCCCGAACCGGGACCCCTCCTGGGGTCCGTGTGCTGCAGCTGTACTCCCCGGATCAATTCTTCGAGGGCCGAGGCCCCCGGACACGGCTCCCGGAGGCCGAAGGGGCAGGCGAAACCTCCTCGGACCCAGAACCTCGCAGCTCCCCGCCCTGCCTGCTGGCGGGAGCCAACGCCGGGCCGCCTCAGACCCCTAGGCGCGTTCCACCCTTGGAGGCCGTCTCTCCTCACACTCAACCAGGACTGCTTGAATGGCAACTTTCCCCCCCTCCCGCCGCCCTTCTCAAGCAGCGCTGGACCGACAAGGCGGGCAAGCCAATCCCGACTTGCGTGGAATCCAAATTTCCTTTCGGGCCTCGCCACGACCCCCCGCCCCTCCCAGATCATCCGACACCGACCTTTTCCAGTAGCGCGTCACAGGATCCAGTCGCGACCTAAATATCGAAAATCAGCGCTCAAAACCAGCAGCGAGCGCATTGCATGCAACATCGAAATCGCTCTTGACAACTGGTAGCGCCCGACAGATTTCGGCTCTGAAGCCAGCATTGGCTTCAGCGCTACCGAATCTGAGCGCGTCGTCACTACCGAATTCCGTTCGGGGAGACGGAAGACTCGGTTACGGGGGACTCGGGTTGGCATGACGGGATCATCATGAGAATAACGGGATCATCATGAGAATAACGAGACCCAATCTGAAATTTGACGCGAACTCCCGCTGCAAACACCCCACGACAACCGGCCCCGTCGGAATCCAGGACGCGCTCGTCAGAACACGTCGGCAGAGCCGAGGAGTTCCGGCTTGCTCGAGTCTGACGCTTCCCCGAGTCCTTCGGCGCCGCCGAATTCCGCTTCGCTCTGGGTCCCCCTCCATACAAAAAAGAAAAAACTGCTCTCCATCTCAGGGAAACGAACTCTATACACCGACGCTTTTTGCCGACCCTGCGCTGAAATTCGCACAGGAACGCGCATCCTGGTGTACACGGGATCCTGGTGTATACATGTTTCGTTGCTTCCCTGGGGAAACGGGGGAACAGCATACACCACACCCTCCCGACGTCGTCCCCGACCTTCAAAAAATAGTGGGAGTGAAAAAACAACGCGCCACTGGCAATGCATATTCAGGGGAGCAAAAAAAAACATTAATATAAAAACTCGGAGGTCCGCGCGGATTTCTCGGATCGGCGCTAGGGGCCCCCCGGCGGCGCCTCCGGCGCCGCCCCTGGCGCGCTCCGCGCGCCAGGGAAGGGGGGTCCAGCGCCGATCCGAGAAATCCGCGCGGACCTCCGAGTTTCTATGTTTGTGCCACTTTTTGTTCCCCTCGTGACAGCTGGCGACACCTCGCGACGCGCAGGGGCCTGGCCCTCCCGGGAGCCCCCCCCCCCCCCCCCCCCCCCGCCGCCCGGCGCGGCGTGTCCTCGGCGGGCCTGCCCCGCCTCTGCTCCAGGCTGCCCCACTTCAGCTCCGAGGCTGGGGCGTCCGCCGGGGGCAACGAAGCACGCCACGAGCACAAACAAATGTCGGAGGTCCGCTCGGACTTGTCCATATCCACCGCCCGGGGACCGACGTCCTGGTGCCCCAGCGGGCGGTGGAAATGGATACATTTCGGCCCCCGGGGGGCCAAATATGTCCATATCCACCGCCTGCCGAGGCTCCGAAAATTGATCCTCCAGGCGGTGGTCATGTATAAAGTCCCGCCTCGGATTCTCAGACCGGCATGAGATCGGCATGAGAAGTACACAATCGTATTAATTGAGACAACATGTTGCCAGATCGGCTCGTCTGCTGTCAATGATCGACAGACGACGCGCTGGACCCCCTGGCGGCGCCCCCGGCGCCGGCGGAGCGCCAGGGAGGGAGGTCCAGCGCCGATCCGAGGACTCCGCGCGGACCACCGAGTTGTTATGTTCATGCCATTCTTCGCTCCCCCAGTCCAGGCACAACCACACGTCCAACTTCCGCGGCCCGGCGACGTACGCGAGGGGCCCCGGCTTCGGAATGCCTCAGGCGCCCAGACGGAGCTGCGTGAGCCTTCCTGGGAGCATCTGTGGACCTCCGCGGCCATATCCATAGCACCACTTCGACCGGAGTCTCGACCATCCCTCTTCACCCTTTTGCCAAGCTTTCGTCCAGACTTCGTCCAGAGTTCTTCCAAATTTCGCCCATGTCGACCAAATCCTGCGACAGCCGTGCGAAATCCCCAAAAACGCCATTAATTGCAGGACCGTCTGAAGCTCCCATGAAGGACCACACACATGGAGGCCTCAAACACGGGGTCCGAGTAGATGGGGTCGGGAAATCGCGCCGCATCGCCGACGCATCGCAAATGCATCGTAGATGCGCCTGTCGACGTCGGCGTGTAGAAAACCGGGCTCCACATCGAGCCGCATCGGCGATGCGGCGCGGTCCTTCCACCCCGTCTGCTCCAACCCCTATCGAGGAGGCCTGCAGTGGAAACCCATGCCAGAAACACCCTGCTTGCCTCCAGGGTGCCCTGGGTTTCTTGGGCTTGACGCTCCCACACCAAAAATCAATGGACGTCCCAGGGTCTCAGGATTGGGTTTTCTCGTGGAGGCCTTCTTTTGGTCAAGCTCCTGCTGTAGCCAGATCCTCTACACTCGTGGCCAGCGCGCGGCCTCCACGTGTTCCGGATCTGCATCCCGCCTTTGCGAGTCTCCTGTCGTCTGGTGCGCGCACACAAATCCCCGGCCCCTGGCCCGCCGTCGCTCAGACGTCCATTCCCCGTGCATTGTTGGGTGTCGCGCGTGTTTTTTTTGGCCCGATGATCGAGGATGCTCCTCGAAGGTGCTCGCCGAGAAACAAAAAATACACGTCCAAGCGATGCCAGGCGGAGAGAGGCCCTGCCACGACGCTCGCGGCGGCCCAGCGGTCTCGACCCACACCCTCGCAGGGATCGGCGTTGCATCCTGGGTCCTCCTGTTGACGGGCCAGAGGGGCCCGGCGAGGGCCCCGACCAAGAGTAGCAACAGGTCGCTCGTCATGCGGCTCTCCTCAGCACGAGGGGCTTTGGGGGGGGGGGGCAGTAGGAGGCTGTTCTTCCCTCCACAGGTTGGGGCTACTAGATTTCAAGAACAAGCCCCCCCCCCCCCGGCCACCCCCACCCTGCATACCGCTCCCGCCAGACCCCAAGCTGTCCCGAGTATCCCCGGCATCCCGAGGGCCTCTCTCCGAGCGCACACCAGGGCGCAGGAGACACGCAGAGGCGGGATGCGGCTGCGGGGCACGTGGAGGCCGCGCGCTGGACACGCGCGTGGAGGATCTGGCTACGGCAGGGGCTCGACCAGAAGAAGCCCTCCACAAGAAACCCAACCCTGGAACCCTAAGGACGTCCATCGAGGTCTGGTGTGGGAACATCGCGCTTTCCATCGCAGAACCATCGAAACCAAAACAAAACAACGGGGCAACCTGGAGGCAAGCAACGTGTTTCTCGGCATGGTTTTCCGCTGTACCTACCAGGCCACCCCAGCCCAACCCGAAAACCCGGATTTCGACTAGGGGGGGGAGTGTACGGGTTCCAGATGTGTTTTTTTCTGTGTTCCCCGTGCCCCCCCCCCGCTGGAATGGGAGAGCAAATTGAGGCCTTCGGGTTGGGTTTGGGCGGTTTGGTGGGTGGTGGGGATCGGCGTGGCGTCGCGCTGCAAGAACATGCGACAACGCGCGTCCCGCCAATGCCAGCCACGCCATGTGCTCTTCCGCTTCCTCGTGCGGCGTGCGCGCCCATCCTAGGCCGAGGGTTCGTCTGGCCAATATCAAAACCATTCGCACTTGGCGCCCCCCGTGCACCGAGATTGACCATGACGCCCGTCTCCATGGTAGACTTCGCAGCCTCGAGCTCCCCCCGGTTAGCGGCGCGCTCCCTGCAGCGCTTGCACGTCAGGCCCTTCGAGCAGCACACGCAGCTGCCGCCGTAGCAGGTCGCGCAAAGGTACCGGTCGCAATTCAAGCACGTGTAGCGGCGGCGGAGGCACCCGAAGTTGGCGCTGCAGCCGTGGCACTGAGTGTCCTTATGATCGTCTGATGCATCTTCGAGGGGCCTTCTCTGTCCCATCGCGCTGCTATCCGCGTCAAATCCGCGTCGAACTTGTCGAATCCGCGTCGAATCCATGTCGAATCCGTGCCGAATCCTCGTCGACTGCGAGCCGATTCCGCGCCGAACCCGCGTCGGGCGCAAGAAAAAAAGTGCAGTTTATAGGACAGGGGAAGCCCCCCGAAGATGCAGAGTAAGATCGGCGGCGAGCGAGGGGGGGATGTGTGGAGGGGCGAACCTTCTCAAGAGGCTCGAGGCCCCCCGGCCTTCTGTTTGGACGCCCGACATGGGTACGGAAAGAATTGGCACAATGCCCAACAACGAATGTTGTCCCAAACCAACAGCGGCCGCTGTTGGGCAGGCGGCCTTCTGTCTTGAATGGACACAGGCCGCGGCGGCGCGAACAGCGAGTCCGGTTCAAAATGAACAGGGACTGCTGTTGGGCATGGTGCCCATCCTTTCCGTACCCCCGTCGCCCGTGCCGATCCTGAGAGGCACTTCCGGAGACCCCCCCGCAGACACCGTGCGCCGTCCGGAAGGCCAGAGGGCTTCCGAGCAGCCCGGCCGCCCTCTGAGAAGGCCCTCTCCCGCTCCCTCCCCCGCCCCCCCCGCTCCGCCGCCGAGGCGCGGCCCCGCGGCGGGAGAGCCACGAGTCGCATCGGCGATCGGCACGGATCGGCTCGGCGAAACTCGGCAGCCGAGCCGGGCAGAGCCGACTCGGCGGAAACCGGCAGGCGTCCCCGAGGAGGAAGCGGAGCCCAGGTCGGCATAATCCCAAGTCGAATCGCATCGGAATCGGAAGCCATCGACCATCGACCTCGGATCGAATCGGAGGCATCGAAGTGAGCCCTGCCCTCGGAGGATGCAGAGCGAGGAGTCCGAGGGCGGCTTGGCGCGCTTGGGCAGCCCGCCGATCTGCATCGGGCGCATGCAGCCGCGGCATCCGGCGGGTCCCGCCGCCCCGGCGGGGCGAGGCTGGGGCGGTGCGGGCCCCCGACGCGCGCCTCGAGGACGGTGGTTAGACAGGCGCGGACGGGGCTGCTCCCATCGCAGTTCGGGGCCACGGCCCAGAATTGGTTTCGAGCACCCCGGGATGTATCGAAGAAGTGTCGAACGAGTATCGCCTCCCAGGGCCCGACGCGTGACAGCCGTGAAACACTGGTACGTTCTTGGTGGTCGGAAGTCTTTCCAGTGACCAAGGCTAGGAGCACGTGGGCGTCGCTTCATGGGGGGGCGATCAATTAGACAAGCGCGTTCCACTACTCGCGAATGAGCTACTCGCGAATGGCCTGGATCCGCCGCGGGGGATTTACGACGCACTCCAGCGAGGCAAACCAATGTATTTGTTCGGACGTTTGCGAGGAGGCACTTTGCGAGTAGTGGAACGCGCTCGGTGATAAATGGGGGGAAGGGAGGTGCACTGCTCGGGCCCTAGTGGCCCCCTTTTGAGCGCGAGCGGGTTCCTGTTCCGCAGCCCTCGCTGCCCCCCCCCTTCGTCGCCCATCGCCCCCCCCGCATGACGCGACGCCCAGTAGGAACGCGTGCCTCTGTTCTTCCACGGACGCACGCCATTGCACGGACAGCGGCCTGGCTGTGCAAAGCCACGCCAAGATGGGGATGCAACCTCGAGGATGGGGCCGGAACGCGACAGGCTCATGTAGGGATGCGTGGTCAGGGTTGTCAAGGACCCCTAATGGACGCGCAGGTTGAGGCCTGTTTCGAGGGTGGCCGGCCAGCGATGGTGCCCAAGCGTGGGCCAGAGATGCAAGGATGGGAGCAGGGCGATATGAGACAACAGCAATTCAAGATCGGTCCCTGGACCCCTCCCTGGGTCCGCACAGTCAAGTTGTTCGAGCTGCGTCCAGCCGTGGTGATGGGGGGTTACCATCGTCTCAACTCGCCCTCATGTGAAATAAACAAGCCGAATAGAGCGCAAAGCGGACGTATGCATATGCTCTCACATGGCGATGTTGAGCGGCGCCTCTCCATCCCAGGCCGCGACGCGCGAAGCGCGACTATCTTCGCGCGCCCCTAGGGGCGACCTCCACTACCTGAGAGATGCAAGGACGAAAAGGGTGCCCTTGGATATCGGAGGCGGCCGTGGGGGTCCTGAGCTGGGGCCCCCAAAAAATCGATGAGGAAGGGGGGATGGAGCCAAATCCGTTCAAAATCTGTGCCCGCACGCCTCCCGGGCTCCGTCTGGCGCAGTTTTCCGAGCCAGATCGTTTTTCTCATCGTCCCCGGGCCCGAACGCGGCCCCCAGGGACTGGCACAGGCAAACACCTTGCCGAACCCATACCCTCGAACCTCCCCGCCTTCCTGCAGGCCAGAACCAGTGCTGAGCCACCTCAGACCTCCAGACGGCTCCTACACTGGAGGCTGTTTTTCTTTACGCTCAAGCCAGTTTACTTGTATGCCATTCCCCCCCTCTCCGCCGCCTTGTCAAACAGTGCTGGGCCAGAAAGGCGTGCAAGCCAATCACGCCCTACGTCTAGTCCTGATGTCTGTTTCGGCCTCGCCACGCCCACCCTTCCCCTCCATGCAGGTAGACTTGCCAGAATCCAACGCTGGTCCTCATGATCACGCTGTCCTCAAGATCCAACTTGGATACAGCTGGACCCAGGAGAGAAACACATCCTTCAAGAACTGGGGAACCTTCGAGGGTGCCCTCCCCAAGATGCACAAGAACATTCCCACACGCCACCTGCTTGAACCGGGCTCCCAAGACAGCCGAGAGCTCCTCCAGCCGATCGGCAAACCGAGGAGCCAGAACACGATCGCGAGGGTACTCTCCCCGAGCCGACCTCGATCTTATATCGGGCCGGGCGAAAGGGGGAATAGCAAAGGGGGGGGGGGTGAGACTCAGCTCACGTAGCTGACTTTCCCGGCGCCTCCCGGCGCCGGGAGGCGGCCATGTATCGAGGAATGGGCCCGGCGGCGGGGCCGAACCCCCCGTAGCTGCATGCAGCAGATTTCGTAACCCCCCACCTTCTCCACCCCCCCCCTCTCGTTCGGCCCGATCTATATACCTGGGTTCCACCGCAGCTGGTCCCCACGCTCGCGCTGTTTCTTCCCTGGGCCGCCACGCCAGCGCGGAGGCCCCCGGCCGGCGCCGCAGCCGCCGCGCGAGCGCGCGCCCGCCTGCCGTGCGGGCCTGCCGTGCGGGCCTCCCGCGGGGGCCGCGCCTGCCGCCGCCTACAGGCACTTGATCTTCGGGAAGAGGTCCAGCCCCTTCTGGATCCTCGGCAGGAACATGCAACGCGGACACCAACGCCTCCTCCTCTTCTTCCACCTCCTCCTCCTCCTTCCCCTCCTCCTCCTCCCCCTCAGGAGCCACCAGCGGGAGGAGCCAGGGAGGGGTTCCCCCCGGTGGTGCGGTGCCCCCTCTCGCTCGAGACATCTCCCCTATCCCCAGCTCGGGCAGGCATCGTGGACCTCCTCGCTGGAGTTGGCCCCCTGGTGGTGCTGCTGATGTCGCCTCTCCTTCCCCCCGCCTCGAGGGTCAGCGACAGGGCGTGACCTAAACAGTGTGTTTCGTTTTGTTGCTTTGTGTTCGGCGCGTTCCCTCGCTCTGCCGTCGCTCCACCTCTGCTGCAGAACGGCATCGCAACGAAAACGGCCCACGAAATTGCCAAAACACCGTGAGCTCGAGCCCTGGGTCAGCGAGAAGGGTGGGGTGCAGCTGAGGTGGAGGCCTCCTGGATGCGGCCCGAGCAGGTGGGGTCGGAGGATTACACCAGATCGCCGACACATCGGCAACGTCGGCAATGCATCGGCGACGCATCACCGATGCATCGCCGATGCCGCGCGATCCTCCGACCCCATCTACTCTGGCCCCATCTGGGAGACCAGATAGGCGAGGGGGACGGGACTGGCTCAGGGGGGAAACATCGGTCGGGAACGTAGGGCTCGAGTCTGGAGAACTGGAACTTGGCCCGACGGGGCCGTCAGCAAAATGCCGAGGCCCAATCGGAAATCGGTTGCGAACTCCCGCTGCAAACATCCCAGGGAACTCTGGACCGTCAAAACCCAAAGCGGGCCGTCAAAGAGCGTCGACAAACCCAACCTTCGGCGAACTCGAGGCTTACGTCTCCCCGAATCGACCTGGAAACGGAGATGTGTCGCCGATCGATCGGCGATGGAGCACGACAGCAAATCCGCACGCCACTGGCGCTGGTTCGAGCCCCACCGGCGATCAGTGCGCCACTGGGGATCGATGCGTCCCACCCTGAGCAGATCCCGCGCAAACTTGGGCGTCGCGCCAAGGAGGGGGGTGATAGTAAAGGGGCCCTGACACACACACACACACACACACACACACACACACACACACACACACACACACACACACACACACACACACACACACACACACACACACACACACACACACACACACACACACACACACACACACACACACACACACACACACACACACACACACACACACACACACACACACACACACACACACACACACACACACACACACACACACACACACACACACACACACACACACACACACACACACACACACACACACACACACACACACACACACACACACACACACACACACACACACACACACACACACACACACACACACACACACACACACACACACACACACACACACACACACACACACACACACACACACACACACACACACACACACACACACACACACACACACACACACACACACACACACACACACACACACACACACACACACACACACACACACACACACACACACACACACACACACACACAACACACACACACAACACACACACACAACACACACACAACACACACACACAGACACACACACACACACACACACACACACACACACGCGCACACACACACATAAATAGACACAGATAACAGGATTCCCCATATTTCCACATAATATTCAGGATCTGCGTCTTTCCCCCACACTTCCCATATTTTCCAATCTTTTCCTGGGAGTCGACGATTCGGTGTGTCTGTGTGTTTCTTTCCCTCCTGAGATTGATGGGGGGGCAGCGTGGGCTCCAGAGAAGAGAAGCCCCGAAGGGGGCCCCGAGAGGGGCCCCGTTCCAGGGACCCAAAGAGTGATCTCCCGGGTCCGAGAAGGTGTACATTTGTCTTCCCCCCTGCCCCATAGATCGCACCTGCATTCAGCGTAGGTCGGGTGATCTCCTAATTACGGGCGGATGTTGGAAGAACATGTTTAAATCAACAATGCGTAAAACAATAACAATCAAACAGAGTCAAACATAGTAGAAACATCTGCCCCAGACCATTTTCCACTAATTTTGAATATTCCTCCTGTGGAGGGGCATGCCCGACGTAGTATGAGGCGGCCCCATGGATCGCCCCTGCACTCAGCTCAGGTCGGGTGATCTCCCAGGGGCGGATTTTGAAGAACATGTCAAAACAATACATAACAAACAATCACACAAAGTTAAATATAGTAGAAAAATCAGCCCCAGATCATGTTTCTCCACTTTTGAATCTTCCCCCTGTGGAGGGACATGCCCGACTCAGCATGAGGCGACGTCCATCTGAAAAACCATCAAACAGAGTCAAACATAGCAGAAACATCTGCCCCAGACTATTCTCCACTACTTCTGAATATTCTTCCTCTGGTGGAGGGACATGCCCGACTTAACATGGGGCGGCGCCCATCTGAAAAAGTAATCAAACAGAGTCAAGCATAGTAGAAACATCTGCCCCCCGACCAGTTTTCACTGCTTTTGAATACTCCTCCTGTGGAGGGACATACCCGACTTAGCATGAGGTGGCCCCATGGATCACCCCTTCATTCAGCTTAGGTCGGGTGATGTCCTAAGGGCGAATTTTGGAAGAACATGTCATAACAAAACATACAATCCCACAGAGTCAAAGCAGTAAAAAAAATTGCCCCAGAATGTCTTTCACCACTTTTGAATATTCCTCCTGTGGAGGGACATGCCCGACTTAGCATGAGGCGGCGCTCAACTGAAACAGAAACTCCAACAGAGTCAAACATAGCAGAAACATCTGCCCCAGACTATTCTTCACTACTTTTGATTCTTCCTCCTGTGGATGGACATGGCCGACTTAGCATTAGGTCGGGCCTGTCCCCCTACAGGGGGATTTCAGTCGAAAAATAAAAAATACTCAAAAAATGCTTGAAAATAGTCAAACAATCGTCCCCATACTATTTTTAGACTATTTTGAATGTCCCTCCTGTAGAGGGACAGGCCCGACTTAAACTTGGCATGGGGCGGCGCCCCGCTTCACGCCGTCCCCGTCTCCTCCGGCGGCGGCGCGCCTGGGGGAGCCCAGAAGCTGGCCGACACGGGGAGGAGCCCGGCGAGCTTGCTTGCACGGAGGCGGCGGGGGGGCACGATCTCCGTACGGTATTCGGCCTGGCCTAAAATGAAAAAACGGCCTGGGACGGAAACCGACGGACCTGGACCCGCAAAAATGACGGCCGCGACGCCCTCTCGCGAACCGAAAACGGCCAATTCCTTAATCGACGTGACATGGTTGGAGGTCTATCTACCTCCGATAAATATGGAACGAGGCCCCTTTGTTTCAAGGAAACCTACGAAGTCCGAAGAGGAACACCAAAGGGGGCTCGCCGCCAAAGAGGTAGCGGAACGCATGCAAACCAAAGGAACGACCGGGCCCCTTGTGAAAAGTAAGTCTTCCTTATTCAAGCCGGACCCTGTGCGCCATCCCCACGTTTGGCGGCGCGCTCCAGGGGACAGGAGGGCCCAGCATCGAATCGAGAAGTCGGATCGGCGCTTGAAATGAATCGGATCGGTGGACAGCGGCAGCCGAGTCGGGAAGAGACGACTCCGTAGACATCGGCAGGCTAGTAGGCCTCCCTTGAGAAATCGGATCCAAAATCGGAATCCGAAAACGAATCGAATCGGAATCGGAACCCACCGATATCCAATCGGAGGAGTCGAAAAGAGCCCTGACGGGGCAGGGGGACGGGAAAAAGCTTCTCAGAAAGAGGCTGCTCCTTGGAAGGCGCCGGCCTTCCACCTGCAGAGCAGGGCCCGCGCCTGCTGAGAAGCAGAGAGTGTGCTTCTAAGCAAGGGCTCCTAAGTTCGCGCTTCGCGCTGCGCGAAGCGCGAAGCGCGAATAACTTCGCGCTCTCGCGCCGCCCCCCCAAGGGAGAATAGGAGGACGAGGAGGAGGGGGAGAAGGAACGAGGACCGCGAAGCGCGAAGCGCGAATAACTTCGCGCCCTCGAGGGAGCCCTTGTTCTAAGAAGCCTCCCCCCCTCCCCGCACCCCCGCGCTGCGCGTGGCCGATGCATGGAGACGGTGGGGGCGGGATTCTCGCATCTAGGGCTCCCAACTTCGCGCTTCGCGCTGCGCGAAGCGCGAATAACTTCGCGCTCTCGCGCCGCCCTCCCAAAGGGAGAATAGGAGGACGAGGAGGAGGGGGAGAAGGAACGAGGACCGCGAAGCGCGAAGCGCGAATAACTTCGCGCCCTCGAGGGAGCCCTTGCGCACACCACCCCCGCGGGCAAGCTGGTCCGGCGCAAGGCCGTGGAGCGAGGGGCAACGTACAACATTGGCATCCCGTGGAGCACGAGCTTTGCACACCGTCCCCCCCACACACAAGCTTTCAAGTCGGGCGTGTCTCCCCCTACAGGGGGGTCTTCGACGAGAAACTAAAGATACGCAAAAAAAAAATGCTCCACAGGGGCCCGACTGAACGCAAGCTGGCCAGGCACAAAGGGCGCGCGCGCGTGAGCGGCGGCCACACATCGGCTCCTGTGGTGGAGGGCGGTGGGCGTGGCGAGACCTGGGACTCCACGCAAGCCAGGACTCACCTGGACGCCTTCCCGGAGCAGCACTGCTTGAGCCTTGCCGTCGCTCGGACGTCCATTTCCCATGCATTTTTCGATTTCGTGCGTGTTTGTTTTTTGCTCGATGGTCCAGGATGGTCCTCGATGGTTCTCGCCGAGAAAAAACACACGTCCGAACGATGCCACGGGACTCACCTGGACGCCTTCCCGGAGCAGCACTGCTTGAGAAGGCGGCGGGTGCGGGTGGGTGAAATGCCATACCAGTGAACTTCCCGGAACAAAAAGAAACACAACCTCAATCTGCGGTGGAAAACCTTCTTTTTAATAAACCACCCTTTCGTGAAAACGGCCTAGGACCGAAACCGACGAACCTGGAACCGCAAAAATAACGGCCGCGACGCCCACTCGCGAACCGAAAACGGCCAATTCACTAACCGACGTGTCAGGGTAGGAGGTCTATCAACCTCCGACTCGAAGGCACCGATACTGCTACTCCGCGGGCCTCTCCCAGGGTGCGCTCTGACCAGGACTCCGAGGCGAGCCCAGCCGTAGCAACCAAAGCCTCCAGGAGCGAGGGAGGGGCAGCGGAATTCGGTACCTTCCCAGACCTCTGACGTCGTGATTTTCCACAGCGATGAGGGGCAACGATAGGGGGGACAGGCATAGGGGGAGGATGCATCGACCTGGAATCGGCAATACATCGTCGATAGATCGGCGATAGGCCCCCGATAGTGCATCCGCACCTTCCGGCACTGGGTGGGGCATCGGCGATACATGGGCGATGGGGGGTCGATGCATCGCCCCCCATGCCTATCTTCTCTGTCGTTGCCCCCCGAAGCGACTCATTCCCCGGGGCCGGTCTTTCGTCCCGAGTCGTTCCCTGGCGGCCCCTGGGCCCGACGAGGGCCCCCAGAGGCAGATTTAGCCATAGCGACTCCCGCCCTGACGTTTCCACACGGCGAGGGAGTCCGGATTCCCTCCTCCCCTGCGCGCCGCGAAGCCGAGGACGAAGATGCCCATCAGCGCCTTGGCGAGAACGGCGAGCACGAAGCTCGCCGCGGAGAGCAGGGCGATCGTGGCTCGCGGCTGCTGCAGCACCGCGGTGCAGGGCGATCTCGCCAGCATGACGAAGTGGAGGACCAAGATCGTCGTCATGGGCTTCGGACGCCCGACACGGGTGCGGAAGGAATGGGTACGAAGCCCAACAACATATGAGCGACGATCAAAAACGAGTTTTGCGCGATGTGGCACGGCGACCTTACGCGGCGGCTCACGCGGGCCGCCAGCGCGGCACGCCACATTGAAGACGAGGGCGCTTGCGCGCGACCTTACGTGGGCAACTTACGCGCCGATGTCGGCGGAGACGACCCCTTTTTTTGGCGTCGCTCAGATGTGGTCAACACCGACAGCGGCCGCTGTTGGGCAGGCGGCCTTCTGTCTCAAGTGGGCAACGTCCGCGGCGACACTGACAGCGAGCCCTGTTCAGGACGAGCAAGCAATATATTCGGAAATGGGTCTCTGTGCCCATTCTTCCTGCCCCCATTTCGATCGTCCCGATGGGCACTCCGCTGAAGCCCAGCCGGCGCTGCAACGAGTGGCTGAATGAATGGATGCGCGGACGAGGGCGGATCGAGAACGGCGGCCCTCCCTGACGATTCCCATCCACTTTGACGCTCCTGGAGTCTTATCGTCGCCAAGGCTGAATGTGTAAATATCTTGCCATCGCTCGGACGTCCATTCCCCGTGCATTCGTCGGTTTCGCGCGCGTAGTTTCCGCGAGATGAGCCTGGATGCTCTTCGGTGGTCCTCGGCGCAGAAGAATTCCACGCGTCCACGCGGTGCCAAGGCATCGAACAAAAAGATCAGGATGGACACTGGGAGGGGTCCGGGACAGATTTTGAGCGGATTCGGGCCAGGCGGGAGAGCGGCCGTGGCCTGGACTGGCCCTCCTCCGAGATGCCGCGGAAGGGCACCGCCGGCATTTTCGCCGAGCCCGCGCCGTGGATGTGCTGTGTCCGGCAGAGCAGGACGTCCGCGATGAGGACCTCCTTGTACACCTCGAGCACAGAGGCTGGCAGCTCGCTGAACTTGATGATGAGGCAGAACTTGATCCAATCGGTGCCTACCTCGAGAATCACCAACAAGAATAGCCAGAACGCTATGTCGGGACCGCTGTACGTCCCGCGCCCAGTGGAGATGCTCAATCTCGCCAACACGAAAATGACGTCTGTCAACAGGTAGAACCTCTCCACGATATCGCTGGCAATGATCGGGAAGAGAGACTTCGCCTCGTACCTCTTGAAGACCGTGGACTTGATTTCAGCAAAGTTGTTCGTCACAATGATGAGGAACACGGCGCTGGAGGACGTATTGATCGCCACCTGCAGGAGAAGCACTCTGACCTCGGGAAACCCAAACATACCGATACCGCTACTCCACGGACCTCTCCCAGAGTGCGTTCTGACAAGGATTTCGAGACGAATCCAGCCGTAGCGACGAGGGCCTCCCAGGAGGCCAAAGAGGCGAACACGAGGCAGGGGTGGCGGTATCGGTACATTTTCTCCTCTGATGACCAGATGCATGCAGGAGTGCAGACAGCAGTACGCCAGGGTGGCAAGATACTTCGGGAGCAGAGAGCTCCACTGCTGCTGAGCCGAGGCCATGACCACGTCGAACAGGTCGACGCCGACAGACCGCGCCCAGCGCTCAAACATCTCCAGCATGTTGAAGATGACATACAGCTTCAGGAACGACTCCCCGCGGATGTAGTGATACATCCACGAGACGTCGAAGAAAACCAACATAAACAAGAGATTCAGAAGGAGCAGGCTGAGACGGATGAGGTCTCCCAGCTCCGTGATTCTCAGCGGGCTCCCCTTGAGAGCGTACCTCCACGGCAGCTTGAGCAGCGCCCCCGCGGCCTGCAGGGGCGTGAAGCTGAGCTCGTGGAGCACGATGTCGCAGCAGAGCAGGTCGCCGATAATCAGCAACTTCTCCAGCCGCTTCGGCACCTCTTGCCGTGAACACCCAGATCCCCTCGCGTCGTGAAGAAAGACGCGCCGGCAAAGATGTTCTGCCTCTGGGGGCCCTCGCCGGGCCCCGGGACCAGAACACACTTCTCAAGATGAAGCACCTGTCCTGGGGAATGGGTCGAGACCATGGAACCCAGAGCGTGCCACCAGACCCAGCGCGTCATCTGGAGCCCCGTCGCTGAAGACGGCCCAGGGGGGGGACGGGAGGGGGCCCGTGAGGCCGAAAGTCATGAAACAGCAGCTCGGGAGCCCGTTCGCTGAGGCTCACCCACCAAGACATCCGACGACATGAATCTTCAATCCGCGGCCCCAGTCACTAACAGGGGATATGTCGACCACTATCCCAGGCTCCGTGATTTTTTTTGAATCATATGAACAAGAAATTTGGGGCCCGACCCTGCGATATACGATGGGGGGGCGTCCATCCTCGATAGGGTGCGTCCGAATAGACCCCTTGGGATGTTTCCCAGAATTTCCATTTTTTCTGCGCGGCAAGACTCTCTTCGGACGGAACTCGGGGATTGGGGGAGAAGAGCCGCCTGCAAGGCACTGATCCTTTCCTGGTCCCCTGATCAATGGATACTGGAATGTCCTGGTCGCCACCGACGAGATCGGTTGCTGCCGACTTTGCTTCAAATTTCGGTATCGGTCGCGGCCGATTTGCGTCGAAATCGGTCGCGACCGATTTTGAGATCGGTCGCGATCGGTCGCGACCGATTTGGAGTGCCGATCGGTCGCTACCGGTCGCGACCGAAAAACATCAATATCAAATGATCTGGGCTGGTCGGGAATCTCCTGACCCGGGTCAATGCGAAACTGGGTCCGGCAGGCTTTGCAGGATCCTGCAAGATCCTGCACCCAAGCCCGGGTCCATGCACCACTGACACCGCAAGATCCTGCAAAATCCGGCGCTCTGACTGACCACCGTATGCATTGACCCCCGTCTCTTGAGCCCGAAGGCTACAGTCAACCGTCATTCTGGGTACCGCTGCAAACTGAACATTGGTTCGGCGGTGGGCAAAGCTCCCTTTAGTAAACCTCCCTTCAACGAGAACGGCCTGGGACCGAAGCCGACGGACCGGGACCCGCAAAAATGACAGCCGCGACGCCCTCTCGCGAACCGAAAGCGGACAATTCCTCAATCGACGTGTCTGGGTAGGAAGTCTATCCACCTCCGATTGGTCTCACGGAGGACGTGCACACAGCATCAGTGACCCACCTTTCAGAGCCTCACGGCCCCCCTTCTTGCCCACAGTTCGTGCGCCGACCTCACGCCGAGATCTGGACTCTGCGGGGAAAGGCCCACCAAAACGAGCTACAGTCGGGCTTGATTGGACAGGACACGCGAGAGGACACAAGACCCTTCCGAGGGCCACGTTGCCACAGGAATGCAGGAGGCATGGGTCGCGAGACACAGGACACGAGGGTACCCTTGGGTTGGCATGGTCGACCTACTAATCCGGGCCGACTGTAGGTTCGTTCCTGAAACGATCTGCTGACCAAGGCTGGGACGGCACACAAAGAAATGATACGGTCAAACCGTATGATAAGGATGCGCGGTAAGGATGAAAGGGCCCTGGAGGGCCACGTTGGCGTTTTTCGGGGGAGGTTGGCCAGCGAAAGTCGCCAGGGATGGGCCGAAGGGGCAAGGATGCAAGGGCAGCCTTGGGAAACTGCTCATCCTTGCTAATTCTGCAGGCTGACTGTATCCTTCGGATGTCGGAGGAAGAAGACAGCCGCATGCCGTCGGGGTTGATCGGAGAGCACACGCGAGATGACACCACGCCCTTCCGAGGGCCACGTTGCCAGAGGGATGCGGAAGGCATGGGTCGCGAAACACAGCACAGAAGGCGAGGGTGCCACTGGCTTGGCAGGGTCGACCCGTGCGTGAACCTCAGCTGTGAACATGAACACCCGAAACAGTCCAAGCGGATGTTTCTGGGATCGGCGCTGCAGCGCCCCTCCCTGGCGCAGCGCAGCGCAGCAAGGGGGGTGGCGCTGAGGGGGCCGTCGGGGGGGTCCCAAGGCAGATCGAAGCACGCCGCACGGACCTCCGACAGTGCACTCCGGACTGCACGACGACGAAAGGCGGGGAGTCTGATCAGGGAGGGGGCCTGATGTGAGCTGTCCTGGAGGGTTCTTCCAGGGGGGTCTGGGCAGAAGGCCGCCCTGTCAGGACTGGTCTGGGGGGGGGTCTAAAACTCTCGACTGGGAGGGTTGTGACCCCCTCCCTTCTCTTACGACCTCTGGGATACCTGATGCAGTGCATTTTACAGCTTGAATCACAAAAGTTCGAATAGGGGATCAACTGCAGGCTTGATCTACTCCAGAATTGCTTTCCCCGCCGAACATACAAACAGCACGTAGAATGTTCGCAGATCTGCGGGACATTCTACGTATGTGTTCGTAGACTCGGCGAGACAAATTATTTGTAAGAGGATCCTGCATGGGCCCGAGCTCTTTCTGGGAGCATGTCATCAGGGGTCTGGGGTCTGGGGTCTGGGTAGGCGCCCAAGAGCTACTCCAGAAGAGCACCCAACGGCGAGCCCGGGGGGCGAAGTGGGAAGGGGCGGGCCCCCTCAGAAGACTCCGAAATCCCCCGGCCTTCTGATGAGCTTTCTGAGCCTTCCCTTAGGCAGAGCGAACCTCTCAGAAGGCGCGAGGGCTTCTGAGACGTCCCGCCGTCTCCGGGAAGGGCCTCCCTCTTCTCGTTTTCCCCCCTTGCTTGTCGCCGACTTGACCCTCGCTCCAGCTGTGTTCTGGTCAAACCGAAAGTACCGATACCGCTGCTCCCCGGACCTCTCCCGGGGTGTGTTCTGACCAGGATTACGAAGCGCATACAGCGATGGCGACGAGGGCCTCCCAGGAGGCCCAAAGAGGAGAAAACGAGGCGAGGGCGAGGGGTAATTAGCAGTATGGGTGGGTACCTTCGCCTCCTCTGATATTCGGTTTGGCTCAGGGCGGACCCCCAAAGGTCTGGACCCTTTCCCCGGGACCGGTTTTTCATCCTGAGTCGTTTCTTGACGGTCCTGCGGGCCGCTTCGGGCCCCCGCAGGCCGAAAATAGTGCAAAACCTCCCGTCGTGTTTTTTTCACGACGAGAGGGTGTCTGGCTTCGATTTGGCTCCGGGCGGACCTTCGCCACCTCTGCCAGGTGGCTCGCCCCGGGCAGCTGCTGCGTCTCGTCGACGGGCCGGCTGTGCACCTCGTCCGCCAGCCACTGCAGGAAGGCGGGCCCGGGGGCGCCGCCCGGCCTCTCTCGGGGGGCGCAGCGTGCCACACTTCCAGAGGAGACCCCTCGGGTCCTCGACGAGGCCCCTGGATACCTCCATGGAGGCCTCCACGAGGCCCCTGGATACCTCCATGGAGGCTTCCACGAGGCCCCACGCGTCGCGAAACAATTAGCCTGGCGAAAGACCCAACCATGGCCCGGCCTCTCGGGGGCGCAGGGCCATGCTTCCAGAGGATACCTCCATGGAGGCCTCCACTCGCCTGGATGCCTCCGCTGGTGCACCAGGCAATCGACAGCGGCAACCACGTAATTAGCGAGCGGAGGTTTGATCACGCCCCCTCCCTCACACTCCCTTCTGCTCCCCTGCCCCTCTCTCCCCGCCGAGATGGTGAGCAGAAGCCTCTCGGGGGAGCTGTCGACGGCCCGCGGCAGGCGAACGGGGCCGCCTTCGGTGGAATCCCTTGTGGGGCCACGAAACGTGTGAGGTGTGCGCCAAAAAGGGTGGGGCGGACGCATGCGAACGCAGCCACTGGGGCCTTCGGTGGCGCTCCCCATAGGGCCAAGAAATGTGAGTGTATGGTGAGCCAGAACGGGCGCGGTGGGCGCATGCGAACGCAGCCACTGGGGCAATCCGCCGACCCCTTGTGGGTCTCTAGGCGTGTGAGATAGTTCCCCCCCCCATAATCCCCCCCCAGGGGCCCCAAACCGGAGATTTGACCCCCCCCCCCCGGGCCCAGCACGAGCGCGCCACGGGGCTCTTTCGGGCCCAAAAGGGGGATCAAGACAGGCCCAGAAGGCTCCAAGAGGCCTCCAAGACGGCCCACGAGGGGCCCGAGACGCCAAACGAGCGCTCCCAGACGCCCAAGATGGCCCCAAGACGAGCCTAAAGGCCTCCAAGACGGCCCAAGAGGTCCCCACGAGGCCCCAAGAGGCCCCCAAGATGCGTCCCAAGAGGGTCCCTAGACGCAAAAATTGGCCCATTCCCTTCGTAAAACGTTTAAGTTTCACAAGTGCGCTTTCTGGGCTTTCCGACGCTCCAAGACGGCCCAAGAGGCCCCCAAGACCGCCCCAAGACGGCCCAAGAAACCTCCAAGAGGGTCCCAAGATAGCCCAAGAGGGCCCCAAGACGGCCCAACAAGCGTCCAAGACGGCCCAACAGGGCCCCGAAAAGGGCCCCAAGAGCGCTCCAGGAGCGCCCCAAGTGGCCTCCAAGAGAGCTCAATATGGCCCCAGACAGCCCAAGAGCGATCAAAGACACCGAAGATGGCCTCCTGACGGCCCAAGATGCCCCCAAGAGGCCCCAAGAGGCATCCAAGATGCGTCCCAAGAGGGCCTCTAGACGCAAAAATTAGCCCGTTCCCTTCGTAAAGCGCGCGTTTTTCACAAATTCGCCTTTTGGGCTTTCCGACGCTCCCAGACGGCCCAAGAGGCCCCCAAGACCGCCCCAAGACGGCCCAAGAAGCCTCCAAGAGGGCCCCAAGACAGCCCAAGAAGGCGCTAAGACGGCTCAAGAGGCGCCGAAGACGGCCCAAGAGAGCCCCGAAGACGGCCCCAAGAGCGCCCCAAATGGCTTCCAAGAGAGCTCAACATGGTCCCACACGGTCCAAGAGCGATCGAAGACACCCGAAATGGCCTCCAGATGGCCCAACACGCCCATGAGAGGCCCCCAAAATGCGTCCCAAGAAGGTCCCTGGACGCAGAAATGTACTTATTCCCGTCGTAAAACGTACAATGTTCACACATCCGCCTTCTGGGCTTTCCGACGCTCCTAGACGGCCCAAGAGGCCCCGAAAACCGCCCCAAGACGGCCCAAGAGGCCCCCAAGACGGCCCCGCGACGGTCCAATATGGCCCCAAGACGGCCCAAGAGGTCCCCAAAACGGCCCAAGAAGGCTCCAAGACGGCACCAAGAGGGGCCCAAGAGGGCAACCAACAATTCAAAAATCTAGCTTTCCGCCCCCACGAGCCCCAGGGGGCCCCAAGAGCGCCCCAACAGGCCGCCAACGGCCCTCAAGAAACCGCCAAGACGCCCCAAGGAGCCCACAAGAGGCCCCCAGGAGGCCCCCAAAAGACCCCCAGACGCTTCCGTATTGCGAGCCGTCACGCCAACTGCAATGCACTCCGCGCATACAACCTTACTCTTCCTCGCGACGTGCTCACTATCTTGCTCGGCGCTAATGTGCTGCTGCCGCGCGAACTGTTTCGTGCGCGCTGCGAACGTCAACGGCCTCTTCACCCGTTTCGATTCATCTGCCACATCTTTCGCTGTGATGCTTCGCTGATCACAGCTTCCACACACTACTCTTGCTCCTTTCGTCTTCCCGTGCTCCTCCACTTGGTTGCGGGTCGAAAGGCCGACCTCCCAGAAGGACACCCCGCACCCGGGTGCACAGCACGCAAAGCGCTCGCAAAACACGCCCCAGACCACCGGCATCACGCAAACATTTGGACCCCCTACGTATCTGCCACCACCCGCGCGCGACACCGCACCCTCACACAAGACGCCGCTGGCCAGAAACTCCTGGCCTCGCAACACTCACAGAAGGGGTCGGCGGATGTGGCGTAAGCCTGTAGAATCGGTTGAGCTCCCTGTGGTCCCACGAAGCGTGCAATGGGTGTGCTGGAACGAGTGCGGTGGGCGGGTGCGAGCGCAGCCACTGGGGCCTTCGGAGGAGCTCATTATGGGGCCAATAAGCGTGTGAAATGTGTGCCGAAATGGGCACGGTGGGCGTATGCAAGCGCAACCGCTTGGGCATTCGGTTGAACTCCGTGTGGGACCACGGAAAGTGTGAGAGGTGTGCCGGAATTGATGCGGTGGGCGCGTGCAAACGGAGCCACTGGGGCCTTCGGTGGAGTTCCCTATGGGGCCACGAAACGTGTGAGCGGTGTCCCAAAATGGATGCAGTGGGGTCGTGCGAGCGCAGCCACTGGGGCCTTCGGTGGCACTCCCCATGGGACCACGAAGCGTGCGAGGGGTGTGCCAGCATGGGAGCGGTGGGCGCATGCGAACGCAGCCACTGGGGCCTTCATTGAAGCCCCCTATGGGGCCGCGAAACGTGTGCGGGGTGTGCCGACATGGGTGCGGTAGGCGCATGCGAACGCAGCCACTGGGGTCTTCGGCTGAACTCCCTCTGGGGCCACTAATTGTGTGAGAAGTGTGCAGGAATGGTCGTCTGGTGCGGAGGGCATCAGGCAAGGATGGGAGGAGGGAGAAGGGGGAGGAGGAAGGGGCGCTGTCTCTTCAAAACGAGGACCACCACCACAGGATGGTTGGGGAAAACGCATACTTTTCGCCATCGAAAATCAACGTATTAAAGCAATCGTCATTGTTAGACCCCCTCTATGCGCCCTGGCGCTCTTGCCTCGGCGTCGGCTGCAATTCCTTTGGACTTGAAGCTCACGCTCAAACGTTTCGGGCTTCCGCCCAAGCCGGGCCCCCAACACCAATTCTTCCGTGCAGCACTCCCTCACAATTTACTCCGAGAGGCCCTGGCCAGAGAGGGCCCGAACCTCAAGAAGGGTGCTATCGCTGGAAACTCCCTCGCAACTTTAAATGGCAAAAGCTGAAACAACCGTTTCGCCTGAGACTCCCTCGCATTTGCTTTAGCACCACAAACAAGGGGGTCCTTCAAAGAAGTCTTGCCGCTACTTGCAGATGCCGGAACGGCCGTTTCGCTTGAGACTTCCTCACCAATTAGCAACGCATGGCTGGTTGCTGCTACTCGCGGATGTCGGAGCGGCCGTTTCGACTGAGATTGTTCTGCAATCCAGCACCACAGAGGGGTACTTCAAAACATTATTGCTGCTGCTCGCGGATGCCGAAACGGCCTTCTCGGCCGAGACGTCCTGACATTTCAGCAACATAAAGAAATCCGTCAGATCAATCTTGCCGCTACTTGCGGAGGCCCCAAGCAGCCCCAGGACGCTCCCGGGCTCCGAGTTCGGGCAGCGTTTTTCGGCCCTCCCGCCACCAGGAGGCCCCAGGACACACTTTTACGCGGGCCGCAGGCGTGGCACGCCACATGGAAGACGAGGGCGCTTACACGCGACCTTCCGCGGGCAGCTTGCACGTCAATGTCGGCACAGACGGCCCCGTTTGTTTGCTTCGCTCGTATGTGTTCGGTGCGCGCTTTTCGGCCCTCCTCTGGTCCCAGGAGGCTACAGGAAACGTGGATGGAGATGTGCGCTCGCGGCGAGCGCTTCGGCCCCCCCGCCCATCAGGAGACTCCAGGAGGCCCGAAGAGACGTTTTTTCTGTCTTGGGATATGCGTTTCAGGAAACACTTTTCTGTATCGGGATATTGTGATCAGGGAGCGCTTTTCAGGTCCCCGCCCCCAGGGAAGCCCAGAAAGCCCTATGAGGCCCGAAGATACACTTTTCTGCGCAGTCGGAGCCAAGCCAGAAGACCATCCTTCACGAGCATGAGGCCCTCCGCTGTCCAAAACACACAGAGCCTCCTAGTGTACCCTCCCCAGGATGCACAAGAACGTCCAACCAGCACGAAGAACACCGGGGCGCCCTCCCCGATGCGACCTCGATCTGATACCTCGGTCCGACTGTACAGTTGGTTGCACGCAGGGAGCGAGCCCAGGACGACCATTGATTTCTGATGCGGGGGCGCCACGCTGTCCATAGCAAAACCATCGAGGCCCAAGAAACCCAAGGCACCCTGGAGGCAAGCAGAGTGTTCTTTGGCAGTACGGGCCAGACCACAAGAAACCTTCCACACGAAGAACAAGTGGGGCACCCTCCCCGAAGCAACCTCGACCTAATACCTCGGTCCGACTATATGAGTTTATGTGTTCGCGGAATGCGCTTCGCCCCCCGTGCGCGTGGCCCCCCATGGGGGCTTCGCCGCCCCTCCTGGGGCACGACTCCTCGTCTGTGGTCTGCGCATTGTTCCTACGTGCTGCCCCTCTCCTGGGGCTCGACTCATCTGTGCTTTACATATGTTCTCAAAGACGGGCCCTCTCCTGGGGTTCGAATATTGAGTGTTTCTCATCTGCTCCTATAGAGTGCCCCTGTCCTGGGTCCTGGGGCTAGAGCCCTCATCGCTCCCCCAAATCGGCTTGATTGCTCGGGAGGGTGTGTTTGCTCGACATCCTTGGGCGGAAGAATCCGGGTGAGAGAATATTGGCACCCCTTCTCCAAGAGTTCCCCCCAAGAGTGGGTGGTATCATGATGGACGAACGTGGCATGTAGAAGCATGGCGCATGAGAGCAACGTGATTGCGGTTGTTGCTCTCTTCGGCCCCTGCATGGGGGCCCTCGCGAGGCCCAGGACCATCAAACGATTCAGGATGAAAAGCTGGTCCCCAGGAATGGGTCGAGACCTCACGGGTCCACGTTGTGAAAATATTACCTTCGTCGGAGGTCTGGGGATGGAATCCTCCATGAGGCCCCTGGACAGGTCAGGTCAGCTCCGGACCGAAACTCGGATCGGGTCGGATCCTGCGTCGGATCGGGCCGCATGGGCACGGAGTCGAGATCGAATCGGATCGGCCGCGCCAGGATCCACAACGGCGCCATGCAAGCATCGGTCTGCATCGGATCGTCGGCATATCGGAAGCGAATCGGATCGGGCTGGCTGAAATCAAGCTCGAAACGGATCGATCGGATCGAAATGGCACATCCCTGGATACTCAAAGAAAAAGCCTCCGACAAACCGGATCCTGGAACCATGCCATCTTGGATCCTCCCTCATATCAATTGGCCCCAGAACCTCTCCAGTGGAGGCCTACCGAATGGGGTCCGAGCAGATGGGATCGAATGGTCGCGCCGCATCGCGCATGCATCACAGTTACATCTGCGATGCATCGGTGACGTCGGCGATGCATAGGCAACTTCGGCGTGCAGAAAGGCGGTCTCCGTATTGTGCCGCATGGCCGATGCATGCATCGGCGATGCTGCGCGATTTTCCGACACCTTCTGTGAAGGGGCCGTTGGACACACACACACAACAAAAAAAACAAAACAAACAAACAAATAAACACAACTCCCAATATTCCCAACATGTTCCGCATATTTTCTGGGTGTTCGTCTTCCCCCCCACTTCCAAATTCCCCTGGAGTCGACGATTACTTGCGCATGTGTGTTTAGCTCCCTCCTGGACATGTGAGGCCTTGATTCAAAGGCGCGTCTGGCCAGCATGTCGAAGGGGATCCAGCAGGGGCGTGACGAGGGCGCCAGCAGGAGGCGCAAACAGAACTCAGAAGACTCGAGGACCCTCGACCCATTCCCCATGACCAGCTTCTGATTGACCAGAGAAGGACCCCTACCAAGCCTCTGGGAGGGGACCTAAGTTGGCAGGGCCAGACACCATAGAGGATGGGGGGATCTTCTCTGCAGGTGCATCGAACCAAACCGCCCAGAACTAGCTGTATCCCTGATGCGAGGACGGGGACCTCAGTGAGGCTGCGGCTTCACAGTGCCATTGCGGTCACTTGTCTTATCCTCCATGAGTTCTCCCTCCCGAATCCTCTTGCGGACGGCCCCGGTTCCCGGGTGCGGGCCGCCCGCAGAGGCCGTCCTGCTCTGTTCAAGACGTGCGCATGCCTGGGGATGGCAGGGGATCACACAAAACTGTCTCCCAAAGGCTCCCGAGTCTGTTTCGGCGGTGGGCAAACCTCCCTCCCGTAGACCTCCCCTCAGTGAACGCGCCCCAGGACCGAAACCGACGGACCTGGACCCGCAAACATGACGGCCGCGACGCCCTCTCGCGAACCGAAAACGGCCAATTCGCTAATCGACGTGTCACAGGGTAGGAGGTCGATCAACCTCCGAGCCCAGGATGTCCACTGATGTTTGATGTGGGAACGCCACGCTGTCCACAGCAAAACCATCGAGGCCCAAGAAACCCAGGGCACCCTGGAGGCAAGCAGAGTGTTCCTTGGCAGCAGGGGCCAGACCACGAGAATCCTTCCACACGAACCCCAACCCTGAGACTGCAGGACGTCCATTGACTCTCGATGCGGGAGCGCCACGCTGTCCATGGCAAAACCATCGAAGCCCGAGAAGCCCGGGGCACCCTGGAGGCATGGGCATGGGGCACCCGGGGCACCCTGGAGGCAAGCAGAAAATTCCTCGGCATGGGCTTCCGCTGTGTATTCACTCGCTCTTCGGCCCCTGCTCCTCGGAGCGTCGTCGGCTGCACGGAGGGAGCGACCCCAGGCAAGAGGAGGAGGAGGAGGAGGAGGAGGAGGAGGAGAAGGAAAACGACGACGACGACGACGACGACCAGGGGAGTAACGGAGAACAGAGGAGGAGGAGGAGAATGGAGGAGGAGGCGGCGGAGGAGGAGGAGGGGGAGGAGGGGAGGAGGAGGAGGAGGAGGAGGAGGAGGAGGAGGAGGAGGATGGAGGAGAAGGCGGAGGAGGAGGAGGAGGAGGAGGGGGAGGAGGAGGAGGAGGAGGAGGAGGAGGGGGAGGATGAGGGGGAGGCGGAGAATGGAGGAGGAGGCGGAGGAGGACGAGGATATAGTCAGGCAAGGAGCGGCCCCAGGCAAGGGAGTGACCTTCGGTGCGCGGCTCCACCGAAGGACACGGGGCGGCCAGAACAACCAGGCGCGTGCCGCTTTCACGCGCTCGGCGATCTCGGGGGACCCCCTGGGGCCCGCAGCAAGCGGGCATGCTGGCAAACGGTTGAAACCTCTTAGATTGATGGGCCCATATTTTCCTCGGGATCGACGATTCGTTGCGTCTGTGTGTTGTCCCCTCCTGATACATGAGGCCCCAGTAGATGGGGTCAGAGGATCGCGCCGCATCGCCAATGCATCGGCGATGCATCGGCGATGCATCGGCGATGCACTGGCGATGCATCGACGATGCGTCGGCGACGCCTCGGCGACGTAAGCGTGAAGAACATCGGGCTCCGCATCGAGCCGCATCGCCGATGCATCGGCGATGCAGCGCGATCCTCCGACCCCATCTACTCGGACCCCGTCTAAGAAGGCCTAGATCGACACAAACCCAAACTGGCTGTTCGTCCCGAGCTGCTTTCTGACGGCCCCCGAGGCCGGAGAACGCAGAGCAGGCCCTTTGGTAAGAAAGCCCCACCCCCTGCGGAGAAAAAATAGTACCGTCGAAACCGACGGTCAGGACGGGTGACCTTCTGGGAGGCCTAGACTAGGAAACCGAACTCTATACACCGACGCTTTTTCTGGCTCTGCACTGGAACTCGCAAAGCAAAACGGATCCTGGTGTATACGGGATGCTGGTGTATACATGTTCGTCACTTCCCCAGGAAAACGGAAACAACTATACATCGCACCACCCCGACGTCGTCCCCGACCCTCAAAAATCCCTTGGATTGCAGAACAGCCCGCCACTGGTAACGTATACACTCCTGTTTCCGATACAGTCAACCCGCAGAGTAAGGATGCGCGATCAGGATGCAAGGGCCTTGGACGCCCATTTCGAAGCTTCCCGAGCTGGGCGCGGCCAACGAAAGTGTCCAAGGATGGACCCAGGAAGCAAGGATGCAAGGGTACCCTGGGGAGGGATGCCTATCCTTACTCTGCGGGTCGACTGCAGACCCCCTGGGGCAAACACCTCCGGCGGCAGGTCGCCCCACACGTCTGGTCGAGTCCCGGCCCCCCGCCGGGCCGCGGCGGGCAACGGGGCCCCCGCGGCTGGGCGCCAGCAGCTGGCGGCGGCACGACGACGACGACGGCGACGACGGCGACGACGACGACGACGACCACGACGACGGCGACGGCGACGGCGACGACGACGGCGTCGGCGTCGGTCGTATGCCGCCTCCCGGCCGGCGCGGCGGCCGCCGCGGGGGCCGGGCGGCGGCAGCACCAGCGGCAGCACCAGCGCCAGCGGGCGAGGCGGGCGTCCCGGGCGTGCCCGCTGGGCAGCTCGGAGGCGCCGGGGAAGAGCGGCTCCTTCGGCGGGGCGCGCCAGATTTGTTTGTGCTGTTTTGCTTTGTGCTTTGAGCAACGGCAGCAAACGTATCCGCCGGCCCCCTTGTGGGGCCACCAGGCTGTAGGCCCGTGATTCGCAGTTTCCCGTACCAGTCGTAGTTTGTAGCTTCCAGTGTAACAGTTCTGCTTCTTGCTGGTTACTGTAACTAGTTGATTGGCCGCGCGAGGGGGGGGGAGGCCCAAACAAGATTTTTAGCGTCTCCTGGCGCCGAATTTCAGAAATGTGGCAAATCCCTTGTGTTTTTGGACCCTGACCCCGCGGATCTGCGTGAGGGGTGGCAGCGAATTTCAGAAATGTGCCAAATCCCTTGTGTTTTTGGACCCTGACCCCGCGGATCTGCGTGAGAGGTGGCACCGAATTTCAGAAATGTAGTAAATCCCTTGTGTTTTTGGACCCTGACCCCGCGGATCTGCGTGAGGGGTGGCACCGAATTTCAGAAATGTGGCAAATCCCTTGTGTTTTTGGACCCTGACCCCGCGGACCTGCGTGAGGGGTGTCGATTTCGAGCCCCCCCAGCAATTCAGACAACACAGATTCGCCGTTTTTCGTTCCCTGAGGGATGCGTGGGAACTTTTTGTTATGAAATTTAAACTCTTCTGTTCTCCGCAGCTTACCAGATGGTGCGGTCCCCGGGCAATGTTGCAGACTCTCTTTTTTTCCGATGCACAATCCGCGCGTCTTTGTTCATTTGATGTTCTGCAACATTGTTTCTGAAAAATTAAACCTGGTTTTGTAAGCGAATCGTCAAAACCAAGTCTCGCGTTGCAATTCTATTCCCTTTGCAGTCTAATGCAACCTTTGCGTTCGAATCGAACGAAACTAAATTTCCAGAATGCTTTACTGAACCGATTTCTGGAGGATTCGAATTTTCGAACCCCTTACGCAGATCCGCGGGGTCAGGGTCCAAAAACACAAGGGATTTGGCACATTTCTGAAATTCGGTGCCACCCTTCACGCACATCCATCGCAAGGCGTGGTAATCCAAACTGCGAGAACTCCCTCGGCCCTTTAATCGCAAGGTGTGGTAACCAAGCCCGTAAACCATACACGTCTTACCAATCGCCAGGTGTGGTAACCCCTCTTGTGATCAGTTGGTTTTGCTGATTGCGAATCGGCTTCGCATGAAGTTTCGATACTGCTTCACGACAGCGCCAAGGCCTCATGACTTAGCTCTTCCATGGCCCATTCTCCGAGAGAGGGGGCCGGCGGCAGGGGGCGAAGCCCTTTCGGATATTTATAGACACGTATAAACATAAACAAAAACACGAACAAAGATCGAGAAGGTCGCCCTGTGGCTTAGGAGAGAAAAATAAGCAGCAGGGGAAGGAGGAGCAGAAGCGCTGGAAGCCATGACAATGGACACCCTACCAATCCGAACATTTAGTACAGCACGTGTTACCAATATTTTAAACATGTTCTAAGAAGTTTTAATCCATAGTTTTTAATATGTTTCAGACATGTTTAAAACATGTTCTAGACATCTGGGAACTATTTGGCAACATCAACAAAGCAAAAGGAGGGGCAGCAGCAGTAGAGGCAATCAATGCAGAGCAAGGGCGCCAGCTGTGCACGCTGACGCTGGTTGCATCGGATCGTCGGCCCATGTCGGAATCGAATCGGATGAGGCTGGCTGGGGCCGAAATTGAAACGGATCGACCGGTCCGACATGGACCCTGCATTCATGGGTGGTCAACAATTTGGACGCCCGAAACGGGTATGGAACACATGGGCACGATTCCCAACATCAAAGGTTGTCCAAAACCGACCGCGGCCGCTGTTGGGCAGGCGGCCTCCTGTTTCGAATGGACAACGACCGCGGCGATACCAACAGCGAGTCCGCTTCAAAATGAATAGGAAATGCTGTTTGTCTTTGTACATATTCTTTCCGTACCCATTTCGATTATTCCGATGCATGGGGGACAAACAGGTCGGCGGTTTCATGCCCGCCATATTTATAGGACGGAGAAGCTGGGAAGGACCCGAGAGAGGGAGGGCGCGGCAGGGGGGTCAAAAAGTTCACGATACCGCTGCTCCCCTGGCCTCTACAAGGGTGCGCGCTGACCAGCACTTCGAGGCGAAGCCATCCGTGGCTACGAGCGCCGCCCAGGAGGCCCAAAAAGGCGAAAACTAGGCAAGGCGTGGTACCGCACGTATAAGTGGTGAAGCGTGGATACACATGGTTGAACGTTGCTATGAGGAAGTGACACTGGCTATTCCCCAACCAGAGCTTGCCTCTGTAGGGGCCCGAGCGGATTCATATGCTTAGGTTAGCTGCGCCGCCGATTTTGGCGGCCGCCCGGGTGCCAGGGTGCCTGGGTGCCCGGTAACTGCGTCGTCGATGAAGGCCCCCCGACCGGGTGCTGGGGTGCCCAATAGCCCTGTGGCCCTACAGCCCTATAGGCCTGTAGCCGTATAGCCCAATAACCCTGCGGCCCTAAGCCCTCTAAACTTATAGCCCAATAGCCCAATAGCCTTGTCGCCCACTAACCCTATATAGCACTAGCCCAACAGCCCAATAGCCCTCTAGCTCTCTAGCCCCATAGCCCTACAGCCCCACAACCCCAAAAAATATGATGATTGGGGCCTCTCTCCAGTATCATACGTATGTTTAAACAACACATCTGCTCCTTCTCCAGGGGGTCCGCCGACGACGACGACGACCACCACGACGACGACGACCACGACGCCCGGCACCCGACGGAGTCCCCGCCCCCCCCCCGCAATGGGCGGGGTCCGAGTTGCGGCGGGGCATGCGGGTGCAGGACGGCGAGCGCGACTCGCTCGGCTGCCGCCTCGCCCTCGGCAGGGCGCGCCGCCACGAGGAGGGCAGGGAAGGCTGGAGTCGGACGGGAGGAGATGATAGAAACATTTTTTTCCTTGTGGATGCCATGACAATGGACACAGTAACAATCCGATCATTGAATTGAACATGTGTTTTGAACGTGTAATACGTTCTAAAACATGTTCCAAACATGTTTGTACATATTCACAAAATGTTTGAAACATGTTGTAGGCATCTGGAAATTATTTGGCAGCATGCTTCCTCTCCATTAGCCGACTCCCACAATTTGATCCCATAGAAGCAAAATATGTCAGACGCTGATATGTGAGATTTCTTTTTGAGGGGGTGGACGACAAGGTGGGACAGCAAAGGGCAGCGCAGAGAATGAGCTCAGGTAGCTGGCTTTCCTGGCGCCTCCACAAGAAACCTTCTACAAGAACCCCAACCCTGAGACCCCAGGACGTCAATTGATTTTTTGATGTGGGAGCGTCACGCTCTCCATCGCAAAACCATCGAAACCCCAAGAAACCCAGGGCACCTTGGAGGCACGCAGCGTGTTTCTTGGCATGCGTCTCCACTGTAACTGACACCGCATTCCGTAGATCAAGCCACTTGCATCGATAACTTACGCAACGTATCTGAAACCGCATAGCTTGCACCCCACAAGTTTTCACACCTCCAATTCACACCGTGAAAGTTACATGAGAAGCCTGACGCCACAAAGGTTGAAGCGCATAGGGCTCCCCTCCTTACACCACGCACCACATAGCTTACACAGCACAGCTTTGACCGCATAACTTACACCGCGTAGCGTTCATCTGCTGCAACATTCAATGACGCACTGTGTGGGGTCCACGCTGGTCAACATCTTCAAATCGATTCTGTCAAATTAGCTTGCGTGGTCGGGCTCGGCGGCGAGTCTGGACGGGAAAGACGAGCATAGCGCAAATGTAAAGCACAACTTGCACGGTTTGCTCGGGCCCAGCACCGAACGAACAGGCGGGGAGGGGGCGGGGCAATACAGCCCATGCAAACAAACTTGCCAGAACCAACAGAACACACACAACACACAACACGACACACAACACACAACAAACAACACACAACGCACAACACGCAACACAAACCACACATTACACAACATATAATACACAACACACACAACACATACACACACACACGTTGGCTGGTGTTCCCACGTGTGTCTCCCCTGCGCGCCAAAGGCGCACGTGAACCGAGGGACCTGTCCGTCGGTGGGGCCAGCCGCGTGCAGCAAATCTCACACCCCGCCCCCGTCCCAATGCCCAACCCGTGCCATCCGACCCGCGAGACTCGAGGGCGAGGGGAGCGAGCCAGAAGGATCACCGGTTCCGCTCTGCCGTTTGTTGCCGGCTCCGTAGCCGTTTTTGTAGCCGGCTCCGTCGCCGCTTGTTTGCCGGTTCCGGATCTGGTTCCGATCCCAGAGCTGTTTTTGTTACCGTGTCTGGTCGCCGTTTTTTCCACAGTTTCCATTCTCAAGAGACGCTGTGCCGAAAACGGTGAAACACGGCCCTGCCGTTTCGGGGGGCCACCGAGGGCACGACGCAGGTCACCGGATGGCATGGTGGGGGCCCGCGCGGCGCAGGCCACCAGTCCGTCGCTCTCTCTCGTCTCGTACTAGTGGGGGCCACGCTGAGAGAAGACGGACGGTGTGCTGCATGTTGCTCCCATCTCACTTAAAGACCACATCCCAGAAATAATTTCGAGCACCTGGAAAAGTGCCGAAATAGTGTCGGACGAGTTTCCCCTGGGGCCCGACGCGTGAAAACCCCCAAGTTTCGGCACTTCCTTGGTGCTCGAAATTCTTTCTGGTGATCAAGGCTAAAGTAGGTTGGAACATCATGCTCTCAGAGCGGACGAAAAACGTAACGCCAGAGGTTCGAGCCGAGGCTGAAAGGACGGTCTCAGATGGGCTCCACTTCTGCTGAGCAGCCGTCGACTTTGCCTGGCTCTCATTCTCCTCCGTCCTCTGTTACCATCGTTTCTCTTGCCGTCGCTCGGACGTCCATTTCCCTTGCATGTTTCGCTTTCGTGCGTGCTTTTTTGTCGCTCGATGGTCCAGGACGGTCTTCGATGGTTCTCGCCGAGAAAGAATGCACACGTCCCAGCGATGCCAAGTATTTGCTCCCCCTCCTCCTCTCCTGACAGCACCAGCGGGGACGGGGGGCAGAGGCGAGGCCATCCCCTGGAGCGAGCGCGCAGCCGACTGCCATCGCTCTTTTGAGAAGGCAGGGAGAGGCAGGGTCAGATTCTTCTGAGTGGTCGCCCTCCTCCCACTTACTCCTCTCATCCCTCCTGGTCCTGTTCCTGCAGTCCCCATCTTGTCTCTTCCTCGTCATCCTTCATCTATTTCCTCCTCCTCCTCCCCAGCATCCTCGAACCCCTGCCATCCGCGCTATTCTTCTAACCTTGCTCAATGATCCGCCTTCTCAATCTTCATATTGTCATAACCCCTGTTCGCTCGCCACCACCGTCCGTCATACGTCTCTCCTTGTCCTCCACCTCCCTGCTTCCTCCTGCTTTTTCCTCCTCAACCCTCATGCCTCGTGCCCCTTCGCTTCCCTTCCTCTCTGCTCTCTCCTCCTCCGCATCATCATCCTCTTCGTTCCCCCGCCTCCTCTTCCTCATCCTCCTCCTCCTCCTCCTCACCCTCTCTCATCCTATATCTCCCTTGTGCTCCTCTGTCCTCGTCCATCCCAGTCCTCCAGCTTCTGGTCCGCCCTCCTCTTCCCCCTTCTCCTCCTCACCCTTCTCCCTCCCTCTCCGTCCTCCCCCTCCTTCTCGCCCTCCTCGTCCTTCTCCTCCTCCTCCTGCCCCTCCTCCCTCCTTCTCTTCCCCCTCCTCCTCCTCCTTCTCCTCCTCCTCCTCTTCCTCCTCGTCCTGGGGAAACCCAGAAACGGACAGGTACCGCCTTACCGCTACTGCATGGACCTCTCCCAGGGTGCGTTTCGACCAGAATTTCAAGGCGAATCCAGCGGTGGCGACGAGGGCGTCCCAGGATGCCCAAGAGGGAAAAACAAGGGAGTGGTAGCGGTATGGGTACCTCTTCCTCGTCCTCATCCTCCCCTTTGCCCCAGCCATGACGACGACGACAACGAAGACGACAAAGCCGCCGACGACGACCCAAACGCTGAGCAAAACGGCGACGACGCCACGGCCGCCGCCGGCCCAAGGCCAGCGCGCCCGTGGCCCGGCTGCCACCGAGGAGCCCGCTGCGCGCCGCAGCTCCCCGGCGTGGCCGCGCCCGCCGCGCGGCGGAAGCGGGCGGCCTGCGAGGGCGAGGGCGAGGCGGGTTGATGGAGCAGGAGTCGGACAGGGATCGGAGGCCGATAAGTGCGCCTGGAGACAGCCGGACCTTGGGCAGAGTCACATCCTTCAAGAACATGGGGCCCTCCGCCGGCCAAAAGGAAGAGCATTCGAGGGCACCCTCCCCCAGGATGCAGAAGAATCTCCAACAAGCGCGAAGAACATTAGGGTACCCTCCCCGAACCGACCTCGATCTTATACCTCGGTCCGACTGTAGCCCACCCCGCCTGGGATCGTGCGGATTCGCTATCGAGAGCATATGTCGAACCTCCAGCAACCTGAATCGGCGGCGAGCGAGGGGGGGAAATGAGGAGGAGGAGGCCTTCTAAGAAGGCGGCGGACGCGGTGGCTTACGCGAGGATGTAGTTAGCGAGGGCGCTTACGCGCGACCTCACGCGGGCAACTTACGCGCGAATGTGGGCGCAGTCGAACCCGTGTTTGGGCGTCGCTCGAATGGGGTCATGCAGGGCCTCTCTGGGGCCACTTTCCTGCACCCCTCGGCCCCACACGTTGGCGCACGCCCGAGGCTCTGGCCGTGTGCAGAGGCCTCCTCGATGGGGTCCCCGAGCAGATGCGGTCGGAGGATCGCGCCAACATCGCCGACGCATCGGCCTTGATTCGGCGACGCTGGCGACGCATCGGCGACGTCAGCGTGGAGAAAATCTGGCTCCGCATCGAGCCACATCGCCGATGCAACTTCGATGCATCGGAGATCCGGCACGATGTCTTCCGACCCCATATACTCCGACCCATCAAACAGGCCTAGCTGTGAGCTTCCCTGATCACTGGATGCTGCAATGTTCCAGTCGCGACCGACGAGATCGGTCGTTACCGATTTACTTGGAATTCTGGTATCGGTCGCGACCGATTTGCTGCGAAATCGGCCGCGACCCATTTAGGAATCGGTCGCGATCGGTCTCGACCGCCTTGGAGTGCCAATTGGTCGCTTTCGATCGCGACCGCCTTGGAGTGCCTGTGTTTGTGGGCCCCGGAAACGGTAGGGCCTTGTTGTCCCGCTTTCAGAAAACTCTCTCCTCCTCCTCCTCCTCCTCCTCCTCCTCCTCCTCCTCCTCGATTGACCTCGACGGACGGGGTTGTGTCCGCCGCCCTGGGCGTCCCAAGGGGGACCGCTTCCTTCCCGGCCTACGCCGCGGACTTCTCAAACAGGGGAGAGGGGGAGTTCGTCTCGGTTGGGAGCCCTTTCGGAGCATCTCAGCGATGGGCACTGGAACCAGAACCGCAAACGAAAACGGCGCCGGGTTCAGACACAAAGGCGCTGGAACCAGCAGGCAACTGCAAAGGGAACCAGCGAAAGAGACGGCCCTGCCCTTCTCAGGGCCCACTGAGGTTGCGAAGGGACGGGATGCTCGTCCTGAGGGACCTCCCCGGAAGCGCTCGCTCCACTCGAACGTCGATGCCCGCGGCGAAGGTTCGTCAGCCCGGGTCAAGCTTGGGTCGAGCTGGGGTCGAGCCAACGTCTGGCTGGAGTCCAGCTAGGCGCCGTGGACACCGCCGACGCCGTCGGCTGCGACGCCGTCTGCGCGAGCATGTCGATCCTCTGGCCAGAACTCCAGCCCCAGGCGGCCGTTCCGGACGATCCGAGCACCCCCCGAATGCCCTCGGCAAGGCGAAGCCGCTCGAGAGCTCTCCGAGGCTGGAAGACATCTTGGAAGCTACGAACGCGCCCGAAAGCCTCCAGGGACGGCATCGACGACGACGCCGTCGACAACGACGTCGACGACGCCGTCGACGACGACGCGAAGCCCCGGGCGCGGCGAAGGCCCGGCGCGGTCCTCCGGGGGCCTGCGCGGGGCCCCTGGAGGGAGATCGGCCGGAGGCCCCCGCGGGCCCGCAGGTGCCCGGCCGCACCCGAAAGCTTCGGTCCTCGGCCCTCGGACTGCGACCCTCGCTCGTCGATGGCTGCCTGCCGGGCCACCCCAACCCAACCCGAAGGCCCGGATCTCGGGTTGGGTTGGGGCAGGGGCTCCCGACGTGCTTTTCTCAGTGCTCCCCGCCCCCCCGCCCCCCACTGGAAATGGAGGGCGAATCGGAGCCCTCGGGTTGGGTTGGGGTGGTTTGGTGGGAGGTGAGACGCACATCGATCCTCGAGCGTGAATCAACTGGCGGTCCTCGGAAGCCTTGGAGATCCTCGAGGATTCGAGAAGGCCAAAGGCGCACCGCAAGAGCCCGGCGCCAGGGGCCTCGGCTCCCCGATCGAGGGCCGGTATCCGCTCGGCATCCGCTCCCGCCCCCTCGGGGGGGGGAACCTCGATCGAGGGCGGTGGCGACCCGACCCGATCGCTCCCGGAGCCGAAGGTCGACCGATCGAGGCCGGAGATCTTGATCCTCGACCGATCCTCGACCCTCCAGAGTCTTCGACTACCGATCCTCGATCGAGGGTCGATCGAGGCCCGAGATCTCGGTCCTCGACCGAGCCTCGACCCTCCAAGGACGTCGAATACCGAGCCTCGATCGAAGGTCGGTATCCGCTCCCGCTCCCACGGGGGGGGAGGGCTCGATCGACGGCCTTGCCGTCGCTCGGACGTCCATTTCCCGTGGCATGTTTCGGTGTCCTGCGTGTTTTTCGTTGCTCGATGGTCCAGGATGGTCCTCGATGGTTCTCGCCGAGAAACAATGCACAGGTCTGAGCGATGCCAAGCGGCGGTTTCGACACGATCCGATCGCTCCCCGAGCCGAAGGTCGACCGATCGAGGGTCTAGATCTCGATCCTCGGCCCATCCTCGATCCTCGGTCCCCGCGGCGAAGGCAGCAGCGCAACGAAGGGGGGGGAGGATTAGACGGGATGGGGCAGTGGGAGGAGGGGGGGAGGAGGAAGACGATCACGATGACGATGACGATGACGATGACGATGACGATGATGATGATGATGATGATGATGATGATGATGATGATGATGATGATGATGATGATAATGGTGATGATGATGATGATGATGATGGTGATGGTGATGGTGATGGTGATGGTGATGGTGATGATGATGATGATGGTGATGATGATGATGATGATGATGATGATGACGATCCTCTTCGATAATTCCTCTCTCCCCCTCTCCCATCTCGGCATCTGTCTGCCTGTTTCTCCTTTTCACCTGCTGCAGATACCCGGCGGTGACCCCAGGAGTGGTGCTCCAGGGGTCACCTGGCCCTAGCTCCCTAGTTTGATCCCCCCCCCACGGCCGACCGTCCCGGGGGGGGAGGGAGGCTACGTTTCACAAACCTTGCAGCCTTCAGAATTCAGGAATCAGGAGGACGACGACAACGTCACCTCCATCACCTACTCTACGACCAAGTGGGTGCATACTGCATGCCTTGGCAGGCCGGTGCACTGGTCCGTGCCTGAGTTGCAAGCCACCGCGCCCAAATCGGTCACGATGTCTCTGAATGTTACCGTGCTTTGCCGTACCATCGAAACGCTGCGAGCCATGATGCCCCGATGAGGATGAGGACGAACACGTCGGTCGACGATGCCGACGCGATCGGGGAGGTCGGAAAAGGGGATCGGTGGGGAGGCGAGAAGGAGAGCGAAGGATGAAGACGACGACGTCGACGTCGTCGAAGAACTCGTTGTCGACGCCGACGACGACAACGACAGCGACAACGACGACGTCGACGACGGCGACGCGAGAAGGCCAAGGCGAGCGAAAGCCCCGCGCGAGGGCATCGGCTCTTCGATCGAGGATCGATCTGCTCCCGCTCCCCTCGGGGTTCGCGACCGAAGATCGATCCGACCCGATCGATCCCCGATCCGAAGAACGACCGATCCAAGATGGAGATCTCGATCCTCGACCGATCCTCGACCCTCCAGACTCTTCGATCCTCGATCCTCGATCGAGGGTCGATCCGACCCGACCCGATGGGTCCCGGCCACGAAGATCGACCGACGGAGGGTCGAGAACTCGATCCTCGACCCGTCCTCAATCCTGGATCCTCGATCCCCGCGGCGAAGGCAGCAGCGCACAGGAGAGAGGGGGAGGGCGAGAAGGGCTCGGGCAGTCGGGGAGGCGGCGCGGGCGGGGGGAGGAGAGGACTCGGCGGGGAGGAGGAGGAGGAGGACAAGGAGGAGGAGGAGGAGGAGGAGGAAAAGGAGGAGGAGGAGGAGGAGGAGGAGGAGGAGAGGAGGAGGGAGGAGGAGGGGGGCTCGGCGGGGAGGAGGAGGAGGAGGAGGAGGAGGAGGAGGAAAAGGAGGAGGAGGAGGAGGAGGCGGAGGAGGAGGAGGAAAAGGAGGAGGAGGAGGAGGGGGGCGTCAGCCCCATCCTCAATCCCCGATCCTCGATCGATCGAGGATCGAGCGGGGTCCTCGATGGAGGATCGACCCGACCCGATCCGATCGATCCTCGATCCAGGAACGCTTTCGGTCGAGGGCCGAGAGGCCCCGCTCCTCGACCAACCCCCAGCCCTCGAGAGTGGATCGATCCCCGAGCCTCGACCCTCGAGCCTCGAAAGGGGCCCAGAGACACACACAGACACACAGACACACAGACACACAGACACACACACACACAGACACACACACACACACACACACACACACGCATGCATGCACGCACGCACGCACGCACGCACGCACGCACGCATGCACACACACACACACACACGCACGCACGCACGCATGCACGCACGCACGCACGCACGCACGCACGCACGCACGCACGCACGCGCGCGCGCGCGCGAACGCACGCACGCACGCACGGACGCACGCCAAAAGGCACGCACTCACGCACGCACGCGCGAGCGCACGGGCGCACGCGCGCACGGGCGCGCGCGCCTGCACGCACGCACACACGCACGCACGCACGCAAGCACGCACGCACGTACGCGCGCACGCACGCACGCGCACGCGCACGCGCGCACGCACGCGCACACGCACGCTCGCATGCACGCGCACGCGCACGCGCACGCGCACGCGCACGCGCACGCGCACGCGCACACGCACACGCACACGCACACGCACACGCACAGGCACACGCACAGGCACACCCACACACCCACACACCCACACACCCACACACCCACACACCCACACACCCACACACCCACACACACCCACACACCCACACACCCACACACCCACACACCCACACACACCCACAGCCACACACGCAAACACCCACACACACACACACACACCCATCCACCCACACACACACACACACACACCCGCCCACACACAGACACACATACAAATAAACAGACACACGTCCCAGGACTCCCAAAATGTTTTCTAGGAGTATGTCCTGGACCCCTTCCCACATCTTCCCTTTCACCTGCACTGGCATCGCTGATCATGAGAGTGTCTGCGCGTGCTCCTTCCCCCCTGGCTGTCCGAGGGCCTCGGCCTGCAGCAACGCCACAGCCGGCGCGTGCTGCGCCTCCTCCGGCTATACGCGCAAAGAGTGACCCCTGGCAGGAGGGACCCTCGGTGCGCGGCTTTCGGCGGAGGGGCGGGGGGCCATTCCCGAGCGGCTCGAGCGCGCAAGCCGCTGCTAGCGCATCGCGTTCAGCCATCTTGAAGGGGTCCTGGGACACATGCATCAACAAACACAGATGCCAAAATTCCAAATTTTTTCCATCTGTTCTGGGTGTCCGTCTTCCCCCCACCTCTGGTATTTTCCCATATTTCCTGGGGGTCGACGATTAATTGTGTCAGTATGTGTGTTTTCCCCTCCTGACATCTGAGGACCTCAGGGTGCCCGCACCAAAAGTCACTCGGCCAAAAGGCCACTCCTACGTGCAGCCGGCTCCTCCAGGCACCCCGCGGTCAGCGCCGACGGGCGCGCCTTGCCCGCGCCGCCAGGAGCGCCGAAGTCGCTGCGCGACGGGGACCTCTGAGGGTCGGCGCGGCGGCGACGCCGTCGGCGTCGTCGCCGGAGATGTGGGCGTCGTCGGCGACGGCGGCGTGGGCGTCGTCATCATCGTCGTCGTCCTCGTCCTCGTCGTCGTCGTCGTCGTCGTCGTCGGCGGCGGCGGCGGCGTGGGCGTCGTCGCCACGGCGGCGGCGTAGGCGTCATCGTCGTCGTCGGCGACATCGGCGTGGGCGTCGACGGCGGCTTGTTCTTCGGCGTCGCCCCCCTCGCCCTCGCCGGGCCCCGAGGCCGTGCAGCAAGCTGCCCGGGACGCGAAGCCCGCCCCAGGGAAAGGGTTCAGACCTCGGGAAGTGCACATGGTGCAAACATCACGACGTCGGGGGTAAGCGTCCGCGTCGTCGTGGGCGTCGTCGACGGCGCTGTTGCCGGCGGCGGCCTGGTCGTCGGCGTCGCCATCGTTCCGAGCTCCTCCCTGCGCCTCATCCTCCCGCCCCCTCCTGCTTCCGCCCCACCCCGCCGAGGCGGGATCTCAAGGAAAGCGGGGGGGGTCCACCCATCCACCCTCTAGATGCAGCCTCAGGGCGAAGGAAAGCGTGACCCAACAGAGATTAAAGGCTCCCCTCACCCCTGATCCTCTGACCATTGGATGCCAGATTTGTCTGGTCGCTTCCGATTTGCTTCGAAATCGGTCGCGACCGAAAAGGTACCCCTCCAACGGTCTGGACAACGGACATATCCAATGGTCTGGGTTCCCCTCCGCCCTCCTCCTCCCAGGCCGTCCACGGCGACGGCAGCATCGAGAACCGAACGAGCAGATAGACAGCGACACCGAAACCGACCGACATCGGCAGGCCGCTGGCAACCCAGGCAGGGAGCAACGACGCGGCAGCGGTGCAACAGCCGACCGATCCGAACCGGCCGAGCGCAGCCTGCGGCGACAGTGGACACGCACGCGAGCCGGCCCGTGCCCCCCTCCAGCGCTTGCTGCTGCTAGCCGCGCGCTCGGAGGCCTCTCCGAGGGCTGCTGAGCGCAGGTCGGCACGTGCGAGAAGGACACCAAACGTGCCAACCCGCCACGCAACCGCATCCACTTGGAAGCGAACGCCCTTGCCCCCGCCCTCCTCGCACGCAGCCATGGCGCAGCAAGGCTACTTCCGACTGCCGGCGCCGAGCTCTGCGGAGCTGCCATCCCACTGTGGCGACGGCCGCTCAGGCCCTCTCGGGGCGGATAGTGGCACCACTGTGGATGCTCCCCTCCGCCCTCCTCCTCCCCGCCCCCGGGCCCTCTATGTGGGCCCTCTGGTGGCCTTCGGCGGCAGCGCGTGGTGCGCCAGCATCGACGTCGCTCTGGCACCCAACCCGTCCGTCCTCCTCCAGCGCCTCCCTCCGCCCTGCACCCCATCCACGCTCCCCGTCCCCTCATTCGAACCCATCGAGCTGCAGCCAAGGAGAGGCGCAGACGACGCCGCGCTCCCTTCCCTGTACATCGGAGCCCAAATCGGGCTCCCAAATCGAACCGAATCGGAATCGGAAGCCATTTTCGGAGGAGCCGAAGCGAGCCCTGTCCCTTCACGCAGGGGGGTGTGGCGAAGCGGGGCTCGCAAGAAGCACGCATGGCGCCAGGGCGGCGTCGCGAGGAAATCACGGCGGGCGCTGACGGCTGACTCCCCGCCTCGGGCTCCTCTGCAGCACTGTCTGGCTCGAGGTCACGCATGGGTTGATAACGCTGGCCGTGATTCTCGACGATGCGACGACAAAAAGCGACGAACGAATTTCTTCGGAGGTCTCCGGAAACCAAGCAATGGCCCCGAACAACTGAAAACGAGTGACCGTTTTTTCGAACCGAGGACGACGACTGTAATTGCGATGACGAAGCCGACGACATGGATGCATCGGCGTCCTGAGGCGAGACATGAATTTAACGTCTTTCGTCATCGTCGTGGGCATGTCAAGCTGGACTCGGGGGCTTGTGTAGGCCGTAAATGTATCACCCAGATGAACCCAACCCAGATTGGGCATGAGTGGGCTAGATTGCGACATGTCAGGCCTGACTAAGCTGCTATAGCGGGATGCGGAATGAGAGTTTGACAAGAGGGTGCGAAAGGCGAGGACATAATCAACCTCCCAGGAGTTGCATCTAGATTCAACTGCGCAAGACTTCCACGATCATCGTCGTGGAGGTAAGCACGCGGGCTCCCGAAATCTAGACTCCCTCCTGGGACGCTGCAGCGCGCCAGAACTGGGCACTCGCATGTGAAACCTACCCCTGCAGGTCCAACTCCCCCCGAACTGGCTGCCCTGCGTCTGCTGCCAAGTGACACCCAGCGGGGGGTCCGATACCCCAGTGTCGATTGAATTCGCAGGGGCAGGGTTCTCCAGTGGCCGCGGAAGATCGCCCTCTGATGGTGCTGGGGTTCGAGTGCGCTCCCAGGTGCCCGAAACTGGCGAAGAACCTCCTCCGTGAGCCCTGTGCTCTAATGGCTGGAGGTCTGCGCTCCCTCCCTCGGCCAGCTGGGCCAGCACGCTGCCCAGAGTGCCCGGAGGTGCCCCGGGCTCCTCGCGCCACTCTGGAGCACCTGTGGGGGGGCCTCCGGGCCTCGAGAAGCCCAGGAGCATACGAACAAATAGACACAGGCCCAAGGACCAAGGATCCCTCCTGTTCTACCAGCTGTTCTGCATTCTCGTCTTCCCCCCCCACTTCTCATAGGTTTCCACACCTTCCTGGGCATCGACAGTTCTTCGTGTCTGTGTGTTCCCCCCCCTCCGAAATGAGGAAAACGATGCAGGACTAGGCAGAAGGCCGTTCCGGGCTCCATGCCATGAGCAAAGGGTGGCTTCCCCGATGGCTTGCATGCGCCAGAATTTGTGTCTTGATCTGTAATGGGTTTCTAGGGTGGGTGGGATGTGGGCACCGCGCCAGTGCGTGACACGTCCAGTATGTTGACGTTTGCGCGCTCTTGTTGACCCTAAACCCCAAACCCTGAACCCTGCCTCTGGCGGAGAGGGACCCCTCGGCGAAAGGCTGCGCCCCAGAGCGTCAGCAAATCGGCAGCCGCCCCAGGCCAAACCCGGGCGAACGGCCGTCGCTCGGACGTCCATTTCCCGTGCATGTTTCGATTTCGCGCATGTTGTTTTTTGCTCGATGGTCCAGGATGGTCGTCAAGGGTCCTCGCCGAGAAAAAAATACACACGTCCGAGCGATGCCAGGGAAAGGGGGGCTGGAGGAAAAGAGTCCTGGAATGGCAGGGGATGGCCCAGACCTTCCGCAGCCAGACGACGAAAAAATTGCATAAACACGAGCTGCTGGCGCTCCGCGCGGATTTCTTGGATCCGCGCTGGGCCCCCCCAGCGACGCCTCTGGCGCAGCCAGACGTTTATCTATATGGAGTGTTGTTTGTTCTTGGGCATGGACCGACCGTCCCGGCATTCCTATAGGTCTACCACTAGATGTAATTAGGACCCAAAAATGTTCTAAGAGCAACCATTATCCCAGTGCGACCCTACATAGGAGCTGGAGCCCCTAACAAAGCAGCATTAGTACGAACCGTAAAGCTAAAGCTAAGCAAACTATAGGTTAAACATAAACTAAAGCTAAGATAAAGCTAAGCTGAAGCTAAGCTAAGCTAAGCTCAAGGTAAGCTAAAGCTAAGATGAAGCTAAGCTAAAGCTAAGCTAAAGCTAAGCTAAGGCTAAGCTAAGGCTAAGCTATCGCTAAGCTACACCTGAGCTAACGCTAAGGTGCAGATAGGCTAAAGCTAAGCTAAAGCTAAGCTAAAGCTACGGTAAAGGCTAAGCTAAAGCTAAGCTAAAGCTAAGCTAAAGCTACGGTAAAGGCTAAGCTAAAGCTAAGGTAAAAATAAGCTAAAGCTAAGCTAAAGCTAAGGTGCAGCTAAGGTACAGCTAAGCTAAAGCTAAGCTAAAGCTAAGCTGAAGCTAAGCTGAGGCTAAGCTAAAGCTAAGCTAAAGCTAAGCTAAAGCTAAAGCTAAGCTAAAGCTAAGCTAAAGCTAAGGTGCCGCTAAGCTAAAGCCAAGCTAAAACTAAGCTAAAGCTAAGCTAAAGTGAAGCTGAAGCTAAGCTAAAGCTAAGCTAAAGCTAAGCTAAAGCTAAGCTGAAGCTAAGCTACAGCTAAGCTAAAGCTAAGCTAAAGCTAAAGCTAAAACTCTCAGGGGACTGGGGGAACCGCGGGGCGGGGACTGGGGGAACCGCCCGGGGCGCTGTGCACTGCCCGGCCCTTTAAGCTAAGAGAGTAAGAACCCTTCTAGGCAGAGCCTATGTAGGGAACAAAAGTTCTTAGAACATGATCCGACGTCTTACAACACGACAGTATAAGCCAGAAATGTTCTAAGAACATCTCAGGCAAACCACAAACGGTAATTAGAACATTATTTGGTGGGCATACTGGCGAGCGAGGACGCTTCGCCACTGCTTGACATCTACGGATCCCGGCCAGGCCACCCTCTCCTGAGACTATTATTGATGCGTACGCCCATGATTGATTGGTAGACGCTTCGCCACTGCTTGATTTTCTTCTTCGAGATTCGTGAAAACGATACTGAGATCTGCGGCTCCGGCTCGGGATTGAGCTCGGCTCGAGCTCGGGGGACCGCGCGGTCGAGCACTCGTCCGGCACGCGCGCGACCCGAGCGTACATGGCCGCGCCGGGCGCAGGCCAAGCAGCACCAGAGCGGAGGGGGGCTTCTTGCGCGGCGGGCCTCATCAACTCCCGCTCGGGCTCGCTGTAGTAGGCCTCCGCTCGCAGGAAAAGAGAGAGAGAGAGAGGAGGAGGACGAGCAGGAGGAGGCGGAGGAGGAGGAGGCGAAGGAAGAGTAGGAGTAGGAGGAGGAGGAGGAGGATGAGGGATGAGGGAGGAGGGAGAGGATGAAGAGGAAGAAGGAAGAGGAGGAAGGAAGGGGGTAAGAGCAGAAACAAGAGCCGTGTACATGCACCGATCTGGGCCGTGCCGCCTCCCGAGCCCAGGATCGGTGCTCTCAGTCCTCGTGCTGCCGCGAGGATAAGCGAGGCCGAGGGGCGGGGCAGCGCTGCGCGGGCCACGACGGCGAGCCTCAGCCACGAGGAGGCGACCTAGATCCAGAGGCGTGGCCCGACAGAAGCCAGAGGCTCGACCGTGTGCACGCATCTTTGAGCAGGGACCGACCGTCCCGCAGTCCTATAGGCCTACCACGGCATGTTCTTAGAACCCAACAACGTTCTAAGAGCAACAGCCATGTTCTCCGAACACAAACCCGATGTTTTAAAACAGAAAAGCTTCGGCCAGGCATGTTCTCATATTTCGTGCAGACCACAAAAGGTTCTTAGAACATTGTTTGGTGGACCTATGAGCGAGCCAGGAGGCTTCGCCACTGCTCGACATCTATGGCTCTTGGCCAGTCCACCCTCTCCTGCGCTCATTAATGCGTACGCCCTCCAGGCTTGGCCAGGGATGCATCTGCTTGGCAAGAGATGCATATGTCCCTCTTCTGGCATTCCCCCTTCGAATTCACTCGCTCAACGAAGGGCACATTGCGGATAACTGATTTAGAACATCTGGCTTTGACCAAGTATTTCCAGAGGAACTGCCCAGGAATAACCAAAGAAAACATCGCTTTTGATACAAAAAACGACACCGAACACGGAACAACAGCGACATTGAGCTTCCTCCCTCCCTCCACCGTCCTCCCGCCCCCCTCCCCCCTCCTCATTTTCACTTATTCTCCCCCGCACCCTCATTCCTCGGCCTCTCTCCCTTCGCCCTTATCCTTCTTGTCTCCTCCTCCTCTTCCTCCTCCTCTCACAGAAAGCCATCAATGTTATGAGCTTATCAACAATATCCACAACAATATCCTCCTCCTCCTCCTCCTCCTGCTCCTCCTCCTGCTCCCCCCGCCAGCCCGAGGGGAAGCACTTACTTCTGCACAGCGCTGGCTCTCCAGCTCACTCCTCCTACCTCCCTCCTCTCTCCCGTCCCTCCCCTTTTGCTCAGCCTCCCTCCAACCCCTTTGCCCCCACCCTCCTGAAACCCTCCTTCCCTCCCTCCTCCTTCCTCCCCCATCTCCCCCCCCGACCCTCCCCAACCCCGCCTTTTGGGAACCAGAAGATGCCGATACAGCTACTCCCCGGACCTCTCTCAGAGTGCGTTCTGACCGGAATTTGGAGGCGGATCCTGCCCTGACGACGAGGGACTCCCAGCAGGCCCGAAATAAGCAAAAACGAGTGAAAGGTAGCGGCATCGGTACCTTACGCCACCTGAGGCCCCCGAAGCGACGTTCGGATGAGGGCGCCACGCCCTGTTCGTCTCACCCCTCACACGTTCTGTGGCCACATCGGAAGCCCCACTCAAGGCCCCAATGGCGACGTTCGCACGTGGCCGTCAAGCCGTCAAGCCCGTTTCGGGCCTGCGGGGGGGGGGACCAACGTCTCACTCATAGAAGAAGAAGAAGATGAATAAGAAGAAGAAGAAGAAGAAGAAAAAGAAAAAGAAGAAGAATAATAAGAAGAAGAAGAATAATAACAAACGGCATAGACATAAACTTTTGGCGCTCCGCGCGGATTTCTTGGATCTGCGCTAGGCCCCCCTCCCTGGCGCGACGAGCGCGCCAGGGGCGGCGCCGGAGGTGTCGCCGGGGGGGCCCAGCGCGGAGCGCCAGCAGCTCGTGTTTATGCCGTTTCTTCGTCGTCTAGCTGCGGAAGGTCTGGGCCATCCCCTGCCATTCCGGGACTCTTTTCCTCCAGGCACCCCCTTTCCTTCATGCTTGCGTTAAGTCGGGCCTGTCCCTCTACAGTGGGAATCTGCAAAAATAGTAAAAAAAAAAATAGTCGGGGGGCGATTTTTGGATCCGAACTCCATCTATCTCCGATGCCGCCGTCGTCGACGTCGCGGCCGCATAAGAAGCCGGCGCTCGCGGCCGCCTCGGCGTAGCCACCGCTGGCCCGCCTCGGCCCGAGGCGGCCCGAGTTCCCGATGCTGCCCCAGGACGAGCGAGAACGGCAACAAAAAACATAATCCCACCAGCCCTTTCGGGCGCGAGTGGTTTAGAGCGTTTCCTCTTTCTCCACGCCCCCCTTCTTCCCCTTTCCTGATCATTGGATACTGGAGTTTTCCTGGCGCGACCGACGAGATCGGATGCTGCCGATTTTGCTTCAAATTTCGGTATCGGTCCCGACCGATTTGCTTCAAAATCGGTCGCGACCGATCGGTATCGATCGATCGATCGAGATCGGTGGCGACCTGTCGCGACCGAGTTTGGGGTCGGTCGCGATCGGTCGCGACCGATTGCGACGATCAATATTTAGGTATCTAATGATCTGGGTTCGGGGCAGCGTTTATCACTGTTCACTGGCAACCAACCCGGACCAATGAGAACAACTTCCCACTATCCGTAGGGCAAACACAATGCAACATTCACTTTGCTTCCAAATTTGAAGCATGCGCGGGCCCCTGTCCATCGGTGTAGGTACTGTGCGCTCCCTGGAGAAGCCGCCCTTCTACAGAGTGCTCGGCACTTCGCTTCAAGGGTACTCAAGATCCTGAACTCCCTTGGGCCAGGGACCCAGACACCTGGCGTCCCTAGTGTTCCCCGTAGCTGGCACAACATCTGGCTCGGCTGAAGCATGTAGCACAGTTGGCGCACGTGGAGCATTTGCCGCACCTGGCACGCTTGGGCCTCGGGGGTGCCTGGTGCATACCTGGCACCCGTGGCGCGCATGGCATGTGTGGCGTTCCGAGGTGATCTGCTGACACTCGGGTGTTGCCTTTGTGTTGGGAGGGCGGGTTGGACTGAGCTTGACGGCCTGCTGTCTGTGAGCGTAGCTTGACCCCTCCCCCTACCCCCTCCCCCTGGCCCTGGACGGGGCCTTCTGCAACGGGTTGGAGCGTCTTGGATCGCCTCGGCTAGGAAGACGACATCGTTGCTTTTACCAAGGACCGCCGTGCGGAAGAAGACCCTGCCCAGCTTTACCAGAGGCCTCCCAAACGGGGTCCGAACAAATGGGGTCGGAGGATCGCGCCGCATGGCCGATGCATCGCCGAAGCACCGCCGATGCGTCGACGACGTCGGCGATGCACATCGGCGACGCCGGCGTGGCGAACATCGGGCTCCGCGACAAGCCGCATCGCCGATGCATCGGCGATGCGGCGCGATTCTTTTCCCTCTGAAACTCGTACGTGCGGTCGAATCGTCGAGGTCGTCGGCAATGTGGCGCCTCATCGGGCAACACCTCCGGGGGCGCCGCCGGCGCGGCCTTCGGCGACGCGTACGGCGACGGGGAGGCCTCTCTCGGGGCGGCGGCGGCGGGGGCGCGGCTCTCTCAGAGCCCACGGTCAGATGTGGGGGGGGCAAGGGGCCCGAAGTGACTACTTACCAGACCACCCCAAACTGACCCGAAGAGCCAAATTTCGGGTTGGGGGGGGACAGGGGTCCCACACGCTGTGGTTTGTCAATGTTTTCCGAGGCCCCACCCACTAAGAATGGTGGGCAAGTTGGGGCCTTCGGGTTGGGCTGGAGTGGTTTGGTGAGGCGGTGACGAAGGGCATGAGACGCCCTTTTGGTGCGCGACAAGAATATGATCCATACCCACAGCCCGGGGAACCCACGTCCTGGGACCCCAGCGGGCAAACGACATGGACGGAGTGTGGCCTTGGGGGACCCGACGTGTGCCCATGTTCACCGCCTGCCGAGGTCCCCCAACAATCGATCCCCCGTGCGGTGGTGGTTCTGGATAGACCCCCGCCTCCGATGTTGTGCCCAACCGGCCGATCGGTGCACGCGGCGCGGCGGATGCGGCGTGCGTGCTTCCACCCTGCCCCCTCTTCGGCGCGCCTCTCGCTCTCCCCCCGCGCCCCCCCCCCCCTTCTCTCCCCGCCCCCTCCACCCCCTCCCCCCTCCACTGGGGAAACCAAAAGGTACCGATGCTGCTGCTCCCCGGGCCTCTCCCGTGGTGCTGCGTCCTGACCAGTATTCCGAGGCGAATCCGACGGTGGCGGCGAGGGCCGCCCGGGGTAGCCGTATGGGTACCGCTTCCTCCTCTGATCCCCCTCCTCTCCCCGCCCCCTCCCCCCCTCTCCCCCTCCCTCCTCTCCCCGCTCGGCGCGTCTCTCCCCTCGCTCGGCGGACGCGGCGGGTTGGGAGGTGCAGTCGGGGCGCTGACCTTCTCCAGAGATTACACTTCGACTTCCCATCGAAAGCCTGAGGACAGCCTGAGGCAAACTGTGAAACAATGAAGGAGCACGGAGCCCCTCCCCAACGAAAAAAAGAGTTCCTTCTTCAGCGCCCCGACTGTAACTCCAGAGGGCGGCGGCGCGTCTCTCCTTCCGAGCTTCCTCGGCTGGGTGCGCGGGCGAGCGGCCCTCAGGGCAGGAGAGCTTGATTCAGCTCCAGCCGGCTCTGATTACGGACGTCGACGTCGACATCGACGTCGACAACGACCGCGATCACGTCGGCCATGCCGCGGACGACACCGACCACGTCGACGACGACACCCGACGACCTTGACAACAATCGATAACGACGACGACGTCGTCGTCGACGTGCACGCCGCCGAGTCGCCCCGCACGAGGCTTATAGCGCATGGAATCAAATAGGCCAGAATCCCCAGAAAAAATAGCCTGACGAAGGAAGCAACCATCTGCAGCTGCGAATGCCGCATTGTGGGTACCGCTTTCGGTGGAGTTCCCTATGGGGTCACGAAGCAAATGAGAGGTGCGCCGAAATCGGTGGCGCGGACGCATGTGGACACCGCCACTGGGGCCGTGAGCTTCCTTCGGGGCCACGCAACGCTGTCCTGGGTGGGGGAGACGCATGCGAATTGCGCCATTGGGACCTTCGTTGGAGTTCCCTATGGGGCCCCGAAACGCTGTCATGGGTGGGGGAGACGCCTGCGAACTGCGCCACTGCCGCCTTCGGTGGAGCTCCCTATGGGACCACGAAGCGCTGTCCTGGGAGGGGGAGATGCATGCGAGCGGCGCCACTGGGACCTTCGGTGGAGCTCCCTATGGGGCCACGAAACACTGTCCTGGGTGGGGGAGACGCATGCGAACGGTGCCACTGGGGCCTTCCGTAGGGCTCCCTGTCCTGGGTGGCGTTGCCGCATGCGGACCCTGCCACTGGAGCCTTTGGTGGAGTTCCCTCGGGGGAACTCCATCTGGGACCACGAAGCGCTGTCCTGGGTGGGGGAGTCGCATGCGGACTCTGCCACTGGAGCCTTCGGTGGAGCTCCCTATGGGGCCACGAAGCGCTGTCTTGGGTGGGGGGAGACGCTTGCGGACCCTGCCACTGAGAACCTTCGGTGGAGCTCCCTATGCGGCCACGAAGCGCTGTCCGGGTGGGTGGCGGTGACGCATGCGGACCCGCGCTGTCCTGGGTGGCGGTGACGCATGCGGACCCTGCCACTGGAGCCTTCGGTAGACCTCCCTCTGGGGCCACACAAAAAAACTGTCCTGGGTGGCGTTGACGACCCTGCCACTGGAGCCTTCGGTGGAGCTCGCTAAGGGGACACGAGAGGCTGTCCTGGATGGCGTTGGCGCATGCGGACCCTGCCACTGGAGCCCTCGGTGGACCTCCCTCTGGGGCCACGAAGCGCTGTCCTGGCTGGCGTTGACGCATGCGGGCCCTGCCACTGGAGCCTGAGGTGGAGGCCCCCATGGGGCCACAAGGCGCTGTCTTGGGTGGCGTTGACGCGTGCGGGCCCTGCCACTGGATCCTTCGGTGGAGCTCCCTATGAGGCCACGAACCGCTGTCCTGGGTGGCGTTGACGCATGCGGACCCTGCCACTGGAGCCTTCGGTGGAGGTCCCTATGGGGCCACGAAACACTGTCCTGGGTGCCGTTGGCGCATGCGGACCCTGCCACTGGAGCTTTCGGTGGAGCTCCCTATGGGGCCACGAACCGCTGTCCTGAGTGGCGTTGACGCATGCGGACCCTGCCATTGGAGCCTTCGGTGGAGCTCCCTATGGGGCCACGAAGCGCTGTCCTGGATGACGTTGGCGCATGCGGACCCTGCCACTGGATCCTTCGGTGGACCTCCCTCTGGGGCCACGAAGCGCTGTCCTGGGTGGCGTTGACGCGTGCGGGCCCTGACACTGGAGCCTTCGGTGGAGGTCCCTATGGGACCACGAACCGTGTGAGGGTTGTGCGGAAATTGGTTGGATAATGCTGATGGTGACGATGATTATGATGCCGTCGATGTGGGGAGGGATGGTCGATGGTCGAACACTTTCGGCCCCATGAAAGCATATCCAAAACATCCAGGTAATTTCCGGAAAGTAACATTTTCCTGAAGTATGTCCGGAGAATTCCAGACTATTTCCAGGGACAGTCTTCGGGAAATAGTTTGGAAATTCATTGTCAATTATTTCTGAAACGCCACCCGTCTGATTCCGGCGCGTTATAACACGAGGCGCCCCGCGCTAGGGGCCCCGCTGCGAGCAAGATGTCCATCCACATCCAACGCATCTTGGAACTTTGGGCTCGCGTCCACGGACAGACTAGGCGCAGTGTATAGCGCCTTGGCCTTGTAGCGCCCCCTCTCAAACAAAAAGTCCAGGACGCAACGGATCTGGATATGACTCGTGAGGCACCGTTTTTTGAAGTGGAGGAGGACGAGGAGGAACAGGAGGAGGAAAAGGAGGGGGAGGAGGAGGAGAAGGAGGAGGACCAGATCCATATCCAGGAGGAGGAGGAGGAGGAGGAGGAGGAGGAGGACCAGGTCCAGATCCAGATCCAGGAGGAGAAGGAGGAGGAAGAGGAGGAGGAGGAGGAGGACCAGGTCCAGTTCCAGATCCAGGAGGAGGAGGAGGAGGAGGAGGAGGAGGAGGGCATCGTGCCCGCACCAGCGGGGCCTTGGGCGTCATCGGCAGCGCCCGCTGGGGCGACGGCGGCGGCGGGGCCGCCGCGCAGCCCAGGAGCGGCGATCGGCGCTCGGCCTCCCGCCGCCGCCGCTCGCCGCCGTCCCCCTCCCCCTCGTCCTCTCCTCCTCCTCCTCTCTCCTTCTCTTCTTCCGCCTCCTCTCCTCCTTGTCCTCCCTCTTCCTCCTCCTCCTCCTCCTTCTCCTCCTCCTTGTCCCCTCCTCATCCTCCAAATTCTCTCCTCCTCCTCCTCCTCCTCCTCCTCCTCCTCCTCCTCTCTCTCCTTCTCCTCTGGGCCCTGGCGGTCCTGTACTCGGAGAGTGATATATATTGTAGAGGCCTCATGGATGGGGTCTTAGCAGATGGGGTCGGAGCATCGCGCCGCATCGCCGATGTATCGGCGATGCATCGCCGATGTGCTGTCGAGGCACCGCCGACATCGGCGACGCATCGGCGACGTCGGCGTGGAGAACATCGGGCTCCGCATGGAGCCGCATCATCGATGCATCGGCGATGCGGCGCGATCTTCCGAACCCATCCGTTCCGATCCCATCTAGGAGACCTACATCCTTGTCAAGCCCCAGACGTATCATTAGAGCGAGCCAGGCGTTTCGCCTGGGACTTCTCGCCATGAGTGATCCTGAAGCTGGGAATGTGCTGTGGCTCTTGCCTTAGCGCCGCGCACATTGATCTTGACAATGCGCAAGAGTTTCAAGGATTGAAAGCGGGTGGTTGAGAAGTTCGGCGGCGGCTCAACTTCTATGAGTATGGTTGCTGACTTTATTGATGACAAACATGTGCATGCAACTGATAGGTGTAGAACCTGCAGATAAAAGGTATCGAAACAGATCAGCACAGGTCTTTTGGATATCGAATATGCTTACTCAGCGCTTCAACGTCATCTGAATATACTCCTGCTGCCCGACTTTTTTAGCACCATTGAGAATACAATCGAAATGTCCGAAAGTCTTCGAGGTCCCGTTCAGCCTCTGGAGGCGGCTGGAGCTGGAATCCTCCTGGGGTCTCCCGCAAATCCCCAGAGACACCCCGCACCGGAGGAAGCCACACGATGTCGGCCGTCGTCGTCGTCGTCGTCAAAATCGTTGTTGTCATCGTCACCGCAACCGCCGCCGCCACCGCTGCCGTCGTTCCACTTCCTTCTACTTCCAACGACTGGCGGGTACCGTTGGAAAGGCTCCCCAGCCTTACCATCCATCTGCGTCGACTGTATCCCTTATCCCTTCCCTCCTCCTGGGTCGACTTCCTCCCTCCGTCTCCTCGCTCCTGGACCTCCCTCCTCCCACATCCTCCCCCATCCTCCTCCCCCACTCCGACGACGCCGGCGACGACGCCGACCTCCACGACGACGCCGACAACCGCGACGATACCGGCGTCCGCGACGCCGATGATGCCGAACCCGTCGTCGACGTCGACGCACACGACGACGACGACGTCCGCGATGCCGACGACGTACGCAGCCTTGGGACCTCAGGAACTGCGAGACCCAGACCCCCGACGTCATGTCTTTCCGCAACGTGGACCCCCGAGGGTCTCGTCTCGATCCAGCTCCCGGGACTCGTTTTTCAAACTGGGCGGCTCTCGCTGTCCCAGGGCCAAGCGAGGGCCCTCAGAGGGCGAAAAATTGGTGAACGCTTTCTCATTCGGCGTTTCGACATTGGGCGCAAGGGGGGGGGTCTGGATTCGGACCTCTGCCTAGTGCGGCTGTTTGCAACAGTGCGTCCTGTGGGGGAGGCTCCACCTGCTCGAAACAGGCGCCACAGACAGCCAAGATCTAATTCAGAGGGGGGGAGAGGGGGCGGGTGCGAGGGTCCGCGCCGATCGGCAAAACAAAGAGGCCTCGAGTCGTGTTTCTTCACTGCGCTTAAGTCGGGCCTGTCCCCCTACAGGGGGATTTTGAACGAAAAACAAAAATAGTCAACAAAAATCACTGAAATACTCAAAATGGTCAAACAATCGCCCCCTGATTATTCTTTGAATATTTTTGAATGTTCCTCCTGTGGAGGGACAGGCCAGACTTAACACTACGCTGGGCCTGTGGGACCTCATGGGCCACGCGACGCCGACGGCGCTGGTCGGCGGCGGCTCTCGGCGCCCGGCGGGTGCGCGGACGGCCGATGTCGACGGCGTCGTCGATCGGCATGGCCAGCGTCGTCGCCGTCGCCGTCGACCTCGCCGTCCTCCTCGACGTGGTCTGCGTCGGCGTCGGCGTCGGCGGCGTCGGCGTCGGCGTCGTCGTCGACGTCGCTACCGTTAGGTCGGGCATGTCCGCCTACAGGCGGAGATTGCAAGGATAACCGAACATAGTCAAAACAATTAAGCATGGCCAAAAGAGCACGAACCATCGTCCCCAAACGAATTCTGTGACTATTCGTGAATATTCCCCCTGTAGAAGGACACGCCCGACTCAACATTACTGCCATCGGGCATGTCTATCTACAGGGGAAATATCCAAAAATAATATAAGAATAGTCCGAGGATGATCTTTCGACCACTTTTCTGTTCCTCTTCCAAAATCCGCCTGGAGGAGGACAAGCCCGACCTAATCGTAGTCGGCGGCGGCGGAGGCGTCGTCTTCGCCGGCGTCGTGGTCGTCGTCCCCAGCAGCGGCCTTGGCGCCCAGCGGGTGCGCGGGAGGTGCCGGGCCGCCGCTGCCGCCGGGCTCAAGGGGCAGCGCGGCCTCCGCCGGGGGTGGCCTGGCCTCGCGCGCGGCAGCGGCGGGTTCGCCGTCGTCGTCGCCGCCGACATCGCCGTCGTCGTCGTCGTCGTCGTCGTCGTCGTCGTCGTCGTCGTCGTCGTCGTCGTCGTCGTCGTCGTCGTCGTCGTCCGTCGTCGTTATCGCCATCGTCGTGGCCGTCGTCGTCGTTGTCGTCGTCGTCGTCGTGGTCGTCGCCGTCGTCGTTATCGTCATCGTGGCCATCGTCGTCGGTCGTTGTTCTCCGCCGCGCCCCGAAGAAGCCCGATGAGGGCAAAGTGGTACCCCCCAAAGCCCCCACGACGCAGATAGCAAACCACATTTGGGCGTAACCACACCCTTTGTAGTCGCCGATCGGGGGACGGGCGCAGGCGTGTGAAACCCCCCCAACGATGACAAGCCAGTCCCAAGGAATGGGTCGAGGTTCTCTGGGGCTCCGCGTTTGAGGCCGTTTTCCTTCAGATCCTGACAAGCCAGGGCTGAATCTAAACGGTGTGTTTCGTTTTCGTTTTGGTTTCGTTTTCCCTCGTGTTGTCTTCAATCCGCCTTTCCGCAAAACGGAATCGAAACGAAAACGGCCCACGAAATCGCCAATACACCGTTTAGGTCCAGCCCTGCGACAAGTTACTTGCGTGGAGGGAGAGGGGGAATGGGGCGTGGCGAGGCCCCAAAAGTCATCTGGACTTCGCGCAAGTCGGGATCGACATGCAAAAGCCCGTTCCGGAGCACGGGTCCAGACCCAGCCCACGTGGCGGAGGAATCATGACGTCGGGGGTCTGGGGCGTGGTCAAGATGGCCCACGACAACCCCAAGAAGGCTGTACGAGGTGCTCAAGAAGGGTACTACTACCTGACATTCCGTGCCCTCCCCCCTCAGTAGGCTCAAGAGCCCCCCAGATGCCCCCGAGGCGCCCCCGAGGCCTCCAAGAGGGCCCCAGGGCGTCTCGGAGGCCACGACAAGCTATCCTCAGTTCGTGTGGGTGTCGGCGGAATGGCGCAGGCCTCTTGAATCATCACGTCGGGGGTCTGGGGCGTGGTCGTTATCGGCATCGTCGTCGTCGCCGTCGTCGTCGACGCCCGCGACCTCGTCGCCGTCGTCGTCATCGTCGTCGTCGTCATTCGTCGTATTCGTCGTCGCCGTCCGTCGTCCGTCGTCCGTCGTCGTCGTCGTCCGTCGTCGTCCCGTCGTCGTCCGTCGACGTCGTTGTCGTCGTCGTCGTCGTCGTCGTCGTCGTGTCGTCGTCGTCGTCTCCCGCGGCCTTCGCGGCGGCCCCCCGGCGGCCCATCGCCACCAGGCGCCCCGGTGACAGGCAGCGCGGCGCTGGCGCGAGCAGCGGCCGCGCTGTCCCAGTTGCGTGCATTTCGAGGGCGGCCTCTCTCCTCCTCCTCCTCCTCCTCCTCCTCAGCCGCCTTCTGCTCCTCCTCCTCCTCCTCCTCCTCCCTCCTCCTCCTCCTCCTCCTCCTCCTCCTCCTCCTCCTCTCCTCTCCTCCCCCTCCTCCTCCTCCTCCTCCTCCCTCCTCCTCCTCTCCTCCTCCTCCTCCTCCTCCTCCTCCTCCTCCTCCCTCCTCCTCCTCCTCCTCCTCAGCCTGCTCCATCCGTTTTCCTGTTCAATAATTCCTCCGTGCCTCACCCGCAGATGTGTCGGTAGGGTGGGCCGGGCATTTCGCCTGCCTTAGCGCCGCGCGTGTTCGTCGTCAACGTATGCACTCGTTTAAAGATTGGAGGCGGTCCATTCTCAAAATGTGGGTCCCGCCTCAGCACCGCGCACATTGGTCTTGCAAATTTGCAGCAATTTCATAGATGGAGGGTGGCCAATTTTCAAATGCAACTTTCGCCTTAGCGCCGCGCCCGTTTATGCTCACAGTTTGCAGCGGATTCAAGGATGGGTGGCTTCTTACCACAATGTGGCCATCCCCTTAGCACCCCTCTCATTCGTCTTAAAAGTTTGCAGCAGTTCAAGGGTTCGTAAGGGTGCAGTCCCAGGAGCGGTGTTCTGGCACGGTCTAGGCAACATTCACGATGATTCGCGGTGTAGGAGTCCCTGGAACAGCGTTCTGGTATGATTCCGAATTCTCAGGGCGCAGCAGTAGCGTTGATTCTTGGAATGGAAATCCCACCAGCCCTCTGGGCGTCGGTGGTTTAAGGAGTGTCCTCTTCCACCCCTCCTTCTTCCCCTTCGGGGAGGGGTTTCCTCCTACCCCCTCCCCTGGACCTGGTCGGGGGGGTTCGCGAGATGTCAAGGCGTCCAAAACGGCCTCGGCGAGGAAGCCCAAACCATTGGTTTTACAGGAGTGTGACCCCATTTTGACCTCCTGAGGGGGGGACCCTTATTAAAGCTCCCCTCTTCTTTAATCGATCTCCTCCAAGATGACCCCAAGAAGCACCCAGGAGGCCCCAAGAGGTCCCAAGATGGCCCCGAGATGGCCCCAAGAGGCCCCCACGAGGCCCCCAAAAGGATCCCAAGCGGCCACCCCGAAGAGCCCGCCCAGGAGGCCCCAAGAGGTCCCAAGATGGCCCCGCGATGGCCCCAAGAGGCGCCCAATAGGCCCCCACGAGGCCCCCAAGAAGACCCCAAGCGGCCCCAAGAGGCCCCCCCGAGGCACCCAAGACCCCGAAGAGCCCCCCAGGATTGCGAAGAGACCCCCAAGACGTCCCAAGAGGCCACCAAGAATCGCCCAAGAGATACCCTAAGAGGCTCCGAGAGGCATCCAAGAGACCTCTGGCCCTTGTGCTTGCCCTCCTCCTCCTCCTCCTCCTCCTCCTCCTCCTCCTGTTCCTCCTTCCTCCTCCATAATTGGCACGATGTAGGACTCTCAAGCGGTTGCCTCCTCATCGAGCACTTCCCCAATGATGGCAACAATTTTCCACAACTCCATGAAAGAATTTGCAACAAAGATCCGCCGGCCCCCTTGTGGGGTCAACTGGCTGTAGGGGCAGGTTGCTGCTCCCTGCGCAAGTTGCAGTTTGAAGTCTGCAATGTTATAGTCCTGATGTCTGCTTCCTATTGAAAATTGTTGGAGTCCGCGCGAGGGGGGATGCCCCAAACAGGCAATTTACCACGCCCAAATCGCGTTGCCTGAATCCCCGGGGGGGCGTGGGACATATTCAAATATGAAATTCGCGCTCCGAGAAAATAATCCCTCATACATTACGCGATGTTCGCGTCCAAGAAGCCACACACCCTAATACATTATACAATGGTTGCGCTCCCGAGGCAACACACCGTCGTAAGTTACACCGTATTCGAGTCCCCGAAACCATAATTTCAAGCATATTGCACAATAGTCGCGTCCCCGAGGCCACAAACCCTTTTAAATTATTAAATATTTGCATCCCAAAGACAACACACCATCGCACATTACGAAAGATTCGCGTCCCCGAGGCCAGAAACCTTCACACATTACGCCATATGCGCACTGCCGATGCCAAGAGTGCTCCAAGGTGCCCGAAAATGGTTCCAAGACGGACCAACCCACGAGACTCCAAGAGCGCTTCAAGAGGCCTCCCGAGAAAGCCCAAAGAGGCCACAATCGTCAATTTTACGAAGGGTGTTGAAGGAGTGCGGATTTCTCACATTTTCGGCTCTCCGATGCTCCAAGGCGGCTCAAGAAGCTCCCAAGACCGCCCCAAGACAGTCCAAGACGCCTCCTAGAGGGCCCCAAGCTGGCCCAAGAGGGATCCAAGATGGCCCACGAGGCGTTCCAAGAAGCTCCGAAAGCCCCCGGGAGGCCCCAAGAGGCCGCCAAGAGGCCCCAAGAGGCGCCCCCGACGCGCCCAAGAGGCCTCCAACAAGCCCCGAATATACCCCACGAGACCCCAAGAGGCCCCCAAGCTGCGCCCAAACCGCCTCCAAGAGGCCCCCGAGAGGCTCGCCACGACACTTCAACACATATACAATAGGCCTCAGCCGCACAACCCAGGCACGGTGGCGAAATGATCCGAAGGCCACTTGGAAAACGCTAACGTCTCAATAATTATGCGCTGATGACTGCATCTGCCCCCGCATGATGTTCCCAGATGCGCCAAGGTAACGTCGAGACGCACCGACGCGACACTGATATATCACATTATGGGCCAGCGGCAGTGGGCGAAGCCCTTCTGGATAATCGGAATATCTGTGACGCGTATTGGGACTGCAATGGTACTTGTCATCGCCTTCTTTGATTATCCTTATCCTTCTCCTTCTCCTTCCCCAATGCCACCAGCCCTCTGGGCGTCGGTGGTTTAGGGCGTTTCCTCTTCCACCCCTCCCTCTTCCCCTTCGGGGAGGGGTTTACCCCTCCCCCTACCCCATCCCCACTGACCTGGACAGGAGGGGCGGGGAGCGGTCAGAGCGTCCAAGATGGCCCAGGACGGCTCCAAGAGGGCCTCAGAGAGCCCAAGATCGCCTCCAAGATGGCTCAAGATAGCGCAAGATGCCTGACGATGTTTCAGAAGACGCTCCAACACGTTCCAAGACCGCTCCAAGATGGTTCCAAGTGCCCACAAGAGCATCATTAGAGTGCCCTCAAAAGGCCGAAATGCTTCAAAACCCTGGGGAAAATCAATGTTTTTGATGTTCTCACTTTTTCGCTTCCGAAGCCCATCCGAGGCCTCAAGATGGCGCCAAGATGTCCCAACTGGGCCCCAACAGGGGCCCAATAGAGCCTCACGACTGCCTCAACAGCGTCCAAGAGCGCTCCAAGAGCGATCCAAGAGGGGTCCAGGAAGCGATTTTAGACAGTCTGGAGGGGCAACGCTAATTAAAGCTCTGCTCTTCTTTGATACATTTGCTCCAAGATGCCCCCCCCCCCCCCAGAGCGCCCCGATGGCGTCTAAAAGGACCCCAGACGCCCAAACACTGCTTCAAAATAAATTCAATCGAGCGCCCGCGCGGGACGCGAAGCCCAGAATACTGCGAATAAGCCCCACCAGCCCTCTGGGCGTCGGTGGTTTAGGGCGTTTCCTCTTCCACCCCTCCCTCTTCCCCTTCGAGGAGGGGTTTACCCCTCCCCCTACCCCCTCCCCACTGACCTGGACAGGGGGTTTCGCGATCGGTCAGAGCGTCCAAGATGGCCCAAGACGGCTCCAAGAGGGCCTCAGAGAGCCCAAGATTCCCTCCAACATGGCTCACGATAGCGCAAGATGCCTCAAGATGGTTCCGAATATGCTCCAAGACGCTCCAAGATCGCGTAAAGACGGCTCCAAGTACCCACAAGAGCATCACTAGGAAGCCTCTAGGAGCCCAAACATACTTCAAACCCCTAGGGAAAATCAATGTTTTTGGCGTTCTCACCTTTTCGCTTGCGATGCACATCCGAGGCGTCAAGATGACTCCAATATGGCTCAAGATAGCTCCAAGAGGGGCCCAAGAGAGCCTCAGGACGGCTCCAAGAGCGGCCACGAGCGCTCCAAGAGCGATCCAAGAGGGGTCCAGGAGACGATGTTTGGAGCTCCTGGGGTGCGAGCCAAGTTGAGGGACCCTCCTTCGTTGATCGATCTCCTCCCAAATGGCTCCAAGAGACGTCTTGGACTCTCCTCTTGGGCCCTGCGCGCGGGCGGGCGGAGCGCCGCCCGCCCGCCCGCAAGGCCCAAGAGCCCACCAAACCGTTCGAAGATACCTCCAAGACGCCACCAGGGAGGAGGAAGAGGCGGAGGAAGAGGAGGAGGAGGAGGAGGAGGAGGAGGAGGAGAGGGAGGAGGAGAGGAGGAGGAGGAAGAAGGCGGAGGAGAAGGAGGAAGAGGGGGAGAAGAACAGCTGCCGATCATCGGCGCTCTTCGTTCGAGTGCCTGGTGTAGGATGGGCTGGTGGGGATACGCGAAGCGTCAAGAATTTCTTTTCCACCATGTGCACGTCGAAAGAACTTCAGCTTTACAGCAGTAGCGTGAGCCTGTTTCCTTCCTCCTCTCCTCCTCCTCCTCCTCCTCCCCTCCTCCCCCTCCTCCCCCACCCCCCTCAACTCCTCCCCCTCCCTCCTCCCCGTTAACCCTCCTCCCTCCCCTCCCCTCCCTCCCCTCCTTCCTCCTCCTCCTCCTCCTCCTCCTCCTCCTCCTCCTCCTCCTCCCGCCTCCTCGCTCGTCGGCATTGATAGGCCCCACGACGAATGAATGGTCGTCGACGTCGTCCACGTGGCGGGGGGGCCTGCTCCTCAGGTGGAGACAGGCCCCACCGTCGCTCGGCCGCGGCCGAGCGTTCTTCGGAGGAGGCGGGTCACCCCCCTCTACGGCGCACTCACCCGCCTCCTCCTCCTCCTCCTCCTCCTCCTCCTCCTCTCCTCCTCCTCCTCCTCCTCCTCTCCTCCCCTCCTCCTTCCCCCTCCTTCCCCCTCCTCCTCCTCCTCCTCCTTCTCCTCTTCCTCCTCCACTCCCACCACCTCCCTCAGGCCCCCCCAGAGGGAGGCTAGGGGCCAGAAGTGACTATCTTTCACTGGTCGGCCTGCTACATTTTGGCCCTCATGTCCACATGATCGCAGGTCGCGATGAGGCCGACATCATCGCGACGCGACGCCAATTGTGCGAATCGACCGAGCTTGCGATTTGAAGGAACGCCCAGCACTGCGTCGCACGACAATTGGACATCATGTCCCGCCGCCTGCAGGAAACCCTTCAAGCGCCAATGGCGCTCTCTGGGCGGCCGGGAATCGCGGGGGGTTCCACGTCGGCCTGAACGCGCCGAGAAACGACCCTGGTCGTCTGGTGAAACCCAGATCCCCAATCCGTCGCCGAGACGTTTCCACGAGCTTCCACATCGACGCAAGTGGGCCCAATAGCTCCACGGGGGCCTCGGGAGAGCCAGTAGGAGAACCCGAGGAAGAGCGCGACAGGCCCCAAGTATGCCCTAGAGCGACCCCCCCGCAGAAGCACGCAAAGAACCACTCGCATCCGCCCCGGACAGGGACGCAACCCAGACCCGCGACCGGTGAAATGAAAGATTTCGCGGTTTTGGCCAGCCCAAAACAACGCAATCTTTCATTTCACCGATCCGGCTTGGCGGGGGTTCCACGGGCGGACGCCGCGCGCGCCCTGAGGCGGCGGGCCGATCGACGCAGGGCCGCGTCCTCGCTTGAGCGCGCGCACCGATCTGCGGCGCGGCGCGCGCATTCCCGCGCCTGAGGCCTGCGGAGACTAACGGTGCACATTTTCGTTTGGTCATGAAGATTCCCGTCGACATTGCCGGGCAGCCTTGACATGCACGCTGATTGAACGGGATCAAGCCGCGGCTATATAGGCACATGCGGCCCCAATGTCTGTTCGGGGGCCGCTCGAGCCAACCGCAGGGCCGATGCACCGCGCATCGCGTCGCTTTCCATCAGTAAATGAAAATGCATCTACAGCGCGCGCGTCGTTCTCGCGGAGCCCAGCAGCATCTTGCGATGGCCACGCTCGCTTGGTTCACGCGTTCCCAGGAGGCAGCAGGCAGCGAAACGAAGAGCGCGCCGTGTAATCATTCAATTAAGCGTCTGCGATCGAAAACCCCCCAAAAACAATGAAAGATAAATATTTCTGGTCCCGAGAGGCGGCCGCCGCCGACGAGGCGTGCCGTCAAACGGGGAGCCGCCAAACCTCGCCATCGCTCGGACGTCCTCTCTCTGTTTTTTTTTTTTTGGTTCCGTGCATCGTTTTTCGCCAGATGATCAAAGATGCTCCTCGATGGTCCTCGCCAACGGAAAACTGCACACGTTCGAGCGATGCCAAGAAACGGGGGGCCGCCGCCAAACGGGGGGCCACAACTTTGGAGAGGGCTGCCGTCGGTCCCAAGACCGGCGGGGGCCGGCCAGACGGAAAAGCGGGGCCGGAAGCGGAGAGAGGACCCCACGTCTTAGAGGTTAGAAAATCCCCCCGTATAATAATCACCCCGACACGCGAAGCCGTTTACTAAACGCACCCACAGCAGGAATCAAACAGGGCAGGGCTGTTTAGTAAACGCCCAGGGCCGTTCAGTAAACGCCAATTGGTGGGTCCGGGTGGTTTTTCGTTCCTTGACTTCTGAGTGACTTCTGAGCTCGTTCGGCGTCTGAGCCCGTTCGGGCGCCGAACGGACTCAAGATCGAGCCCTTCCGGCGGCCGAACGGGCTCCATTCCCACGGCCCTGCTGGAACTGAGCCCTAGGCTCCCCGAACCTCTCCCAGGGTGCGTTCTGACTAAAATTCCGAGGCAAATCCAGTCGTGGCGACGAGAGCACCCAAGGAGGCCCAGGAGGGCGAAAACGGGGCAAGGGTAACAGTATCGGCACCTTTTCCTCATCGGACATCCCGAGGCCTTTCACGGCGACAACAACATCGGAATCCGTTCGAACCGACAACGAAACCGAAAGCGACTGAAACATCGACAGGCCGCATGCGGTTCCGAGGGCGAAGCGATGCGGCCACGACACAATCACTGACCGAACCGAACCAACCGAAACGACCGAACCGCGAACACACTCGTATCGTCGGCCTCGTCGGCCTCGTCGGCCTCGTCGGCCTCGTCGTCGTCGTCGTCGTCGTCGTCGTCGTCGTCGTCGTCGTCTTTGTCGGCGGCGGCGTCGTCGTCGTCGTCGGCGTCGGCGTCGCCGTCGGCGTCGGCGGCGTCGTCGTCGTTGTCGTTGTCCCTCCTCTCCTCGGCCCTCCATCGCCGCGCTGCCCCCGGGCGCCACTTTTGCACGCGGCCACCGCGGCGCTCGGCGCCGCACCGCCGAGGGCGGGCGGCGGCGGCGCACTGGCGCGGTGGGGACAGGCAAGGAAACACGAGTCGGCTGTGCTCAAGTCGGGCGTGTCCCCCATACAGGGGGATTTTCGACGGAAGCAAACAATTTAGCAAAAAATGCTCCAAGATGGCAAAAAAAATGCTAAAAAAATATTCCCTGGACTCTTTTTTTACTATTTTGCAGTACTCCTCCTGTAGAGGGACAGGCCCGGCTGAAGGCTACACGCAAGGGTGAGCCTAAGCAAGAATGACCTGTCTTCCATGCGCAGCTTAAGAGGGGCGCAAGGCGGCCAACCACAAGCGCGCGAGCAGCCGCTATCGCATCGCGCTCAGCGATCGAGGGGATCCTGGTGGGCCCGCCTCAAAGGTCACTCCAGCGCAGGGTCACTCGTACGCGAAATCGAACAGGGGTGGCGCGGCTGGGGGGTTTGGAAACAACTCCTGGGAGGTCACGGGATTGAGCCGTACTAAGCGGGATTTGGCCGGCCAAGCGCGATTTAAACATATTTTGGGAAATTCCGACCAAAGACACACCGGCGCTGACTGAGCAGTTCGATCTCCCGGGAATTGCATCCCAACGGTGGGGAGCTCGACCTGACACCGGCGACACGTCGCCGCTGCAGGCCCCCTGTGGCGAGTCCGCAGGCTTCTGGGCGTGGCGGGCCATCGGGCCCGCATGGGCGATGAGAATTGTTGCGTTGCGTCCTCGTGGGGCCTTGTCTGTCCCGTCGCGGTCCTATCCGCGTCGAATCCGTGTCGGAGACTCATCGGACCTATGTCGCATCCGCGTCGCATCCGTGTCGCATCCGCGCCGAATCCGCTCCAAACCTGCGTCGGATCCGCATCGAGCCCGCGCTGGGCACGAGACGAGACGCCGATCCTGGGGACAGGCGAGGACCCCCAAAGATGCAGCGTAAGGAGTGGGCTATTGGGGGTCGATGTTTTGCCCCCCTGAGCCTCAATTTCGGGGCCATCAATCTCTGGCTTTCCGGCGGCCCTTCGGGACGATCCGGGCACCACGGGAACGCTCTCGGCGAGGCGCAGCTGCTGGAGAGGATCCCACCGCTCGAGAGCCGCCCACAAACGACGAACACCTCCGAAAACCTCCAGACTCACAAATTGTCGCCCCTGTGTCTACCCCCATGAGCCCATCCCTCGCACGGCCCACTGGCTCTCATACCTTGAACCCACGCTGCCTAGGCACGGCCAGTTCGATGCCTGGGCATCACCAGGCCGATGCCAAGACGTCTGCTACGACGCATCCCTCGATGAAGGCGTAGGCATTCCCATGCGGATGCCTGGGCATCAGCCGTGGCACGCCTGGGCATCTACACGACCACACCTAAGCATGATACTATGCTTCGCGGGCGTCCACGCTGGGAGGCTCAAGGTGACGGATGGGAGCATAGCGAGCGGGCCGACCCAACCTGTCCCCCCCTGACGCTGCCCCTGAGGACAGCCCTGCGGATGGCACCCCTGCGTGCGCGAGCGCGCGCGCGCGCAACGGCGGGCGCTCATGGGCGCCCTGCGGCGCGCGCGGGCGCGCCCTGTTGCCAGTTCGAAGGGGGGCTTTCCCAGTGGGCACAGCGGCCAAACCATCATCATCATCATCATCATCATCATCATCATCATCATCATCATCACCACCACCACCACCACCACCACCACCACCATCATCATCATCATCATCATCATCATCATCATCATCATCATCATCATCATCATCAACATCAACATCAACATCATCATCAACATCATCATCGTCGTCATCAACATCATCATCAGCATCATCATCAACAACATCATCATCATCATCATCATCACCATCACCATCATCATCACCATCATCATCAGCATCATCACCATCATCATTATCATCATCATGGCCTACATGAGGGTAATTTGGTCTGTCTGGTTTTTGTTGGAAAACCTGGCTAACGAAAGTTGCACGGCGTTCCACATCCGCCGCCGCAGCAGACATCGCTGGGCCGACAAAAGGCGCGCAGATGAATCCTGACATTCGCAACGCCCGCCCCCCACCAATACCAAGGGCTCCCAGCTTCGCGCTTCGCGCTGCGCGAAGCGCGAAGTGCGAATAACTTCGCGCTCTCGCGCCGCCTCCCAGGGGAGAAGAGGAGGAAGAGGAGGAATCGAAGCCGAACCGCGAAGCGCGAAGCGCGAATAACTTCGCGCCCTCGAGGGCGCCCTTGAATACCCTCCGGTGTGTAAAGAACCAACACCTCAAAAACGGGTTCGATGCGGGTCCAGCTCGGCCTCGGCGCGGACAGCGACGCGGATGGCTCCCGAAGGTGCGAACCACAACGCACGCGCTCGAACTGACAAAGTCATCCGGATATGCAACATAATGCACCCATCGTGACGAGACGAATCCAAATGTTCAAAAATTGTACTGCGTTGGGGCTCTGAGAAACCTCCCGTGGCCACTGGTGCAATCGCGGAGTTCAGGCCAGATCGCGGCCTGCGACAATCGACCTTGTTGAGTCCTAGCATCCCCACGCAAAACGAAGGCAGAACGAAGATAAAAGAGACATTCACAGCTGCCTTGCCCGCGCGACTCGCTGAGATCCCCTCCCCTCTCCACCCGCCCTCCCTCGCCTTCCCTGCCATTAACCCTCCCCCTCTCCAACTGATGCTGCGGCCCCGCTCGCGCCACTAGTCCGGTCTCACATTTGTCGCGGGCGCTGGGCAACCCTACTCTAAGAGAGCTCGGCAGTCCAGAGAGGACTCAAGATCGAAGAGGCCCCGCAGGGGCTACGAACCCCCGAGGGCGGAATGCAGCCAGAGACCGGCCAGGACAGAACGGGAAGCAAACACCGAAGCCTCTGCCGCCTGCACCAGCGAAGGCCGAGCCAACAGACGAGGACGACGCGCGCGGGCCGAGGCGCGCCTGCGCCCTCTTGCCCAGGAGCTGCTTCGGCATTCCCTCCCCACAGCACCTTCCCGACCTTCTGCGAAACGCCCCGGGCCCCCCGCGATGATCGCCATGGCGCGCATGAACTCCATCTGCCCCAAACCAGCGATCAGGGCTGGCATCTCCGGCGGACCGCGCTGCAGTCGGCACTCGTGCTGGCCTGGGTCCGTCTCGACCCCGGCCCCCGCTGCACGTTGAGTCTTGCCCAATTTCTCCGCCAGCGCCTCGTCGCTGGCCACCGCCACTGTTCCTGTTCCTGCTCATGGTGAGCCTTGCTCTTTTCACGTCGAAGATTGGGCTAAACGCGAAGTCCTTCGCTCACTCTGATGCGTCCCCTCACGTGTGTTTCTCCCGCATTTTCAGCGCCCGAATCGGATGTCCGTTGAATTTGAGTACTTACTGCAGTCCGTCCGTTTGCAATCGACTCTCGATGCCGCGCAGAACCTCCGAAACCAGCTGCAACTCGGGCGGCCCTATGGCGGGCGTCTGGTCCCACTCCTGCGCCGCATTCCTGCAAAGAGCATGCGCGGCTTGCCCTGATTGCACTAGCGAACCATCCATCGTCCGCCGCCGAGGAAACCTGCGTTGCAGTCGCGAAAACTATCGTTCACATCCTGGCGTTTGACTGCGCCGCCACATTTCTGAACGCGGCCTGCTCGATGACCTGGTTTTCCTGCTCCTTCGCCTTTCCCGCCACGTCTTTCCCATCCCCGCTCGCCTCGCCAAGAATCCGCGACGCCAGGGAACGCTGCCTCGAGACGCGGGCCTGCCCGACTAGATACTCGCGCCGTAGGCAGGTCGCCGCGGACAGCGTCATCCCCGAACTCGACCGATTCCAAGCGGGACGCAACCCTAGATGGCGCGCCCGACCCACGTGCTTTTTCGCGCGCACTTCCGACGGGAACGCCGCCCCGCGCGCCGCTTGCTGATTGCTCGCGCACCAATTTCGAAACAAGACTCTCCTCCGACTCGGTCCGCCCTGGGCATGAAACCATGCGAATCCCTCCTCGCGCGATCAGGAGCAACATATTGGCGTTGCGCGCCTTGATCGCCCTGCGCCCAACACTGATCCCCGCCTCCACCCAACTTCCCACTTTGCGCTGGCCCGTGGATCTCACGGTCACGCACGACGGGCGTCCTCAATCCTACAAGATCTACTCGAACAAGTCCTCTCTCTCCATTGAAGTATGACCAAGAAGAGGACGTTGACCGCATCTCTCCGGGCACAAACATCATCGTCCATTGAGCAAAGACCGACTGTCCTGGCATTCCTTTAGGCCTACCGCGAAGTTTTCCTATAACCAAACATGTCCCAAGAACGAAACCACGGTTCTCAGAACATTACCACGATGTCTTTTCTTTTAAAAAGAACAGTCCCAACCAAAAATACACCAATAATATTTCGTGGAAGCCGCAAAAAGGGCTCTTCGAACATTGATAGGTAGGCCTATAGGCAGGCCAGGACACTTCGCAACTGCTTGAGTCAATGTGAACCTGCATCGCTGACACATCTCGTAGCGAGCCCCGAAGATTGCCCAGTACCTGCGCCGTTGAAGCATCGGGCCCGAGCACGGTCCCAGTTCCACCTGTCGATCGCCTCCTTCACCATGTCCTCCGCTGAATTCCCCCCTGAATGCCGCGCCCGGCACCTGCTCGGCTACGCCTGCGCCAGCTAGAAATCTCGTGGCCACTTTGGCTTCCTGACCCGTGAATCGACGATGCCGCTCGCGCGCGGTGGCTTGGCCGTCGTGACCAGGTGCGTCAACGAACGGGCCTGCCAATGCCCCCGAACCTGTGCGACGCCTCCTCGGCCCATCCTGCCTCTCAAACGTTCCGACCCACGTTGGTATCGCATGAATCGCTTGTCCCCGGCATATTGGCGTTGTCTAGCGCGTCGACCCATTCGCCGCCGGGCAAATCCGCCTCGCCCCCCGCGGCGCTCTGCCTCCCAAGCTGCGATCGCACGCCCATACTTACGTCGACTCTTGCAATCGATCTCGCGCCCATATTTCTCATCGCTGCGACCGACCGACCCTGCAGACTGCAATCTCAACAGCTGCTCTCTCAATGTGGAGCGGCCCTCTTTCCTGCGACAGCATGGGACGTCTCCTGCCAAAATGCACGCTGGCCCAACCCCGCCCCGCCAAGCATCTCATCAACCTGTCCAATTAAGCCCTCGCATCTCTGCCGCGGCTGCCGGCATTGCCCACGCGCCCGTGGATTCGCTGCCCAAATCATTGCTCTCTCGCGCAGAACATCGCGTCCTGCCCCTCGCGCGGGCGCCGTCGCAGCGAGGGGCGCCATCGCGGGGCCTCCTGAGACGCAGCCCCATCCTCAAGACAAAAATGCCTCGGCGGGGCCTTCGCCCAACAAAAGCGGAATGTGGCGAAATCGAACCGGACGGACGCATGCGACGATGTCGTTGAAGGATCTGGTTGGGCCTGATAGAGGAGGAGACGTCGTCGCAACGTGGAAGCGCCGAGCACGTTGTACACGCGTTGGCCGCGGCCTCCATTGCCGGGAAATGGCATGTCTGTGCTAAGGTGTCAGCGTCCTGGGCGTGCTTCTCGGCGCAGCTCTGGGAGGCGATATCAACGGCCAAGCGGTCAGCGCCGTCTACCAGCAGGCGGGTGTCATCGCGCGCCCGCTGCACAAGTGCACGGAGATCGTCGACGCCAGCGCCGGGGAAGCGCGCGCGAACGTCAAGTCGATGTCGCGGCTTTTGCAGAGCGCCGCGGGTCAGGGCCAGCACAAGTGCAAGGAGTGCGCCGAGAGTGGACAGGGCGCCGATAGGACGCCAGGCGTTGCCAGCGTTGCCCTTCGCGCCCTGTACTTGTACCCCGCGGTGTCGAGGCCGTGCGACAACCTTCGGGGAATTGGGCTTGGGGCGTTGACACCCCAAGCCCCAATCGCGCGCCGCTTCGCGCGGTGGCGCCCAATCGCGCGCTCGCGCACGCGCCTCCGGGGAATTGGGGCTGGGGCGTTGTGCCCGTCGAGCAGCGGGCGGCGACGCAGGCGAATCCCGCGATATCCGCGGCCATGCCGACATGGCACACCAACAACGCCGAGGAGAGCCGGGCCATTTGGGTCGCATCCGGCGCGCGCAAAGCCACCGCCAGTGAGCGGGCCGGCCGGGCTGCCGAACCTCGCCGCCAGAACCGTCGCCAACCGAGCCCAGGCCGCTGTCATTGAGCGGGCCGGCCTCGCCGCCGAATCTGCGCCATGAGTCCTGGAGCCGAGCGACATGCGCAGGGGCAACCGCCCTCCAACCATCGCGACATCCATCTCGGTTATCGCGTGTCATCGCCACTTTCGCCATCGATTCGCCTCGCGCCCGCGAGCACAGACGCGCCAACAACCGTGACAACCGCCGTGCCGAGCACCACAGGCATCGTCAAAACCGATGCCTCTGATGCCCACTGTCTCCATAAACGGGAATATTCCGACGAGGCACCGCGACGGCCACCTCGCCGCGCACCGCGCGGGCAAATAAACGCAGCCCCATTATTATTCGCACTTCTTTTCGTCGCGCGGGCGAAGATTGCCACCTGGGCGCCGGGCGAAAAAAAAGGGGGCGGGCAGAAAACCCGCGCGGGCAAACAGATGACATCTGATTCTGTGCGGCGGAAGGCGGGGGCGAGCGCATCCCATCTGGGAAGAAGGATGGGCGAGGGGGAAAACGAAGCTTTCCGCGGAGCGTCTTCTGCCCGAGCGGGCCGCGCACTCTTCGCCCCGCAACTCCCGCGCCCATGTCGACCCGCGCAGTAGGGGCCAAGCTCTGCCCTCCCCGCGCGCCGTTTCTTCGGGCGGCCGCGCGGGCGCCATGGCCGCCCCGGCGTGCCTGCTGGAGAACCGCGTCGGCGAAATCTCCCGGCGCGCCGCCCTGAAAGGCTGCGCCTCCACGCGCCCTCAATTGCGCGAAGGCCCTTCGGTCAGGGCCGTCGCGGACCGCAAGGAATTCGCCGCGCCGCTGGCGCGGCAAATTCCTTGCAAGGCCTGGCGCGGCGCCAGGCCTTGCGGTGCGCCCTGACTGTGCCGAACAGCTCTGCGCCAGGAGATGGCCGTCGGGGGCCCTTGTTACTGGGGATGGTACAAGCAACAACGCAGCGTCGGAGCTCGCTTGCCTTCGAGCCGTCGCTCGGTTCATCAGCGAGTCTCCGAGAGACTTTGTGCTCCGACCTGCGCGCTGGAAGGCGTCGCCAGACCGGCCGGTGGCCAATCTGCCCGGCGCCGACGCGCGGCGCCAGGCATTGCCAGCGCGCGCCCCTGCGCGCCTCCGGGGTGCCGGCGAGGAGGCTGACGCGCCTGGCGCTGACGCGCGCTCGGTTGCACTTTTGCACTGATGCCTGAACGCGCATGGCGGTGAGTTCGATCCGTCTAAGACTTTGCACAAAAGGATGGGGCTCGAACCAGCGGGTGAGCATGTGTACGAGAAGTTCAACAAGCTCTTAGCGCCTGGGGGCTGAAAGCTTTCGTCGAGAGCCACCCCGAGTTCACATGGAACCCCAAAACCAAGAAAAGAATGGTCATCACATGGGCACGCGGGGCATGGCAGCCGGCAGTGGACGACGCGCAAGCAGTGGAGAAAGCGCCGCCCGAGGAGGGCACGCGAGCACAAAACTTTGCCAGTGCGTCTGGTGTCGACGTTGGAACCCGACGCCGTCAGGAGATGCTGCCACCCACACGCAGGCGCCGCTGGCACCAAGCTTTGCTGGTGCCTCGAGCGCCGGACCTGCAATCAAGGAAGCATCGGGTGGCGCCGCGAGCAGTCACTATGGCACCGCAGCGCGCACGTTCGACCACGTCGACTACCGCTGGGGTGAGGCTCGCGCGATTGATAAAAGGCACGCGGGGACAGCGCTTCACGACAATGTCGAGTGCGCTTCGCCAACATCGCCTCATCACATCACGTTCACGTGCGCAATCACACTACTCACTAGACTCCGCCCCACAGGCATCGTCAGACCAACAATCACCATTTTTGCCCATTCCTGCCCCTCCCAACCTCCTTATCACCCGCAGGGTGGTCGTATAGGTATGTATGTATAAGAAGGCTCGTGCTTTCAGGAACCAGCCCTCTTCTAAGAACCCCCCCCTCTGCCCCCCCCTTTTGCGCGTGGCCGAAGAACACCTGCCGCCATGTTCTTGTGCGCTCACGACGCGGATGGGTTTCTGGGTTTTCCCTCCCCTCCCCCCTCCCTCAAGGAGGCAAATCACGGAAGCTTTTGGCCGCACCATGGCACCCGATAGCTCGCCCGGCGCCCCCAAGCGGCCACGCCATTCATCTTCCTCCCGTGAAAGGCCCTGGAGACGACAAGGTCGTTTTGTTTTTTTGCCGCTTCTGTTCTGCCGTTTTTGTAGCCGGTCTAGCGACATGTTTGGCCGGTTCCGTCCTCGTTTTTTTGCCGAATCCGGCTCCGGCTCCCGTTCCAGAACGTGTTTGTCTCCGTGTCCTATTGCCATTTATTGACCGTTCCATGTTCAAGAAACGCTGCTTCGGAAACGATGAAAAAACGGCCCCGCCATTTCCGGGCCCAGCAGTATTGGGCGCTTTTGGTCGCTGTTTGGCCCTAATTGACCGCTATTCGGCGTTTCTTGGAGCCGAGCGCTGTTGGGCACTGTTGAGGGCGTTGCGCGCCGATATACATTCAATCCCACACGACAGGAGACTTGGAGAGCTCAGCATCGAATCGATAAGGCCGGATCGGCCATCGAAATTAATCGGATCGGCGGAACTCGGCAGCCGAGTCGAGAGGAGTCGAATCGGCGGACATCGGCAGGCGAATCGACCTTCATGGAGAACTCGGACTCCAAATCGGAATCCGAAGTCCAACAGAATCGGAATCGGAAACCATCGAGATCGAATCGAATCGAATCCGAAAATCGAAATGAGCCCTGAACTTCCGTGATTTACCATCCCCCTCCCCCCCCCGTCGCCTGTGGAGCGCATGGACGACGCGTCCTCCAGCAGCTGCTCGACCTCAGCACCAGCATGGCCCCGAGGCCCCAAGCTAGCGACCGCGCACCCTCACGAAGTTCCACTCGCCTTTTCGCCCAGAGCTCGGCCGTCTCCGGCCCACGATGGCCCCAATCGGCCCCGATACTTCTGTGGATTCCATGACAATCGACACTCTACCAATCCTATCATTGAATTAAACATGCGTTTAAACTGTGTAACTCATGTTCGAAGCACGTTTCAAACATATTTATGCATGCTTGATACATGTTTGAAACACGTTTTAGACATCTGGAAATTATTTGGCAGCATGCTTCCTCTCCATGAATTGACTTCCACAACGATACTGCTACTCCCCAGACCACTCCCAGGGTGCGTTCTGAGCAGCACTTCGAGTGCGAATGCAGCGGTGGCGACGAGGGCCGCCCAAGAGGTGAAAAACAAGGGCGGAACCCGGGACTGGCCATCGCTCGTACGTCCATTCCCTGTTTCGGTTACGTGCGTGTGTTTTTTTTTTTTTTCGCAGGATGATCCAGGATGCTCCTTAACAGTCCCCGCCGAGAAACAGTGCACACGTCCTAGCGATACCAAGGGGACGGGTACAGCTAGGGGAACATTCTCCTCCTCCGATCGGCAGCGAGCGGGGGAGGGCCTGCTCAGAAGTGAGAAGGAGAGGGCCTGCTCAGAAGGCGGCGGGGCCCCGCACAGAAGCTCGTTCCTGCCTGCGGGTAACTTGCCGTCGCTCGGACGTCCATTTCCCGTGTATTTTTTCGGCTTCGCGCGTGTTTGTTTGTTTGTTCCTCGATGGTCCAGGAGGTCCTCGATGGTTCTCGCCGAGAAAAAATGCACACGTCCGAGCGATGCCAAGGGTAAGGCTCCGATAACTCCTCAGAAGGCCGGGGGACATCCGGAGCCTTCTGAGGAGGCCCTCTGATTTTCTCGCTCCCACCCCCCCCCGCTCGCCTAGGGGGCCACATGCGAACCCTGCCCCTGCTCCCCACGATTTCTGAAGGGGGCGGGTGGGGTTCACTTCGCTCGGAGGCTCCCGAACGAAGTGAACCCCACCCTCCCCCTCAGAAATCGTGGGTAGGGGTAGGTTCGTGTCGTGCCGACTTCGGCGTTGGTTTCTGACACCGCGGGGATCGTTCAACCTTGAACGATCGGCCGTTTCCGAAACGTCTAAATCGTTTTACATCGAGCGATTTTGGGTCGCTCGCGGCGTTCAACGTTGAACGCCGCTGGCGGGGTCGCCGCCGGTCGACACGGCACGAACCTACCGTAGGGGTATGGGGCAGGGTTCGCATGTGGCCCTCTCGCTCGCCGCCGGCTCGAGGCGGATCGTCGGCGGCCCTGCCTGCGCTGTTTGCTGCGCCACAGCCGCCCGGCGGCAGAGCCACCGCGGCTGCGGTCCGAGCCGGGTCTGGTCCCGTCGGGCGGCGGGCGCGCGGCGGCCGAGGCGGGCGAGGGAGGAGAGCACTGCTCGGCGGCAGCTCACGGGAGCCACCCATACCATCTTGTCGGCTCCTGCGAATCCACGCTGGGTCGACGCTGAACCGACGCTGAATCGACGCTGAACCGACGCTGAATCGACGCGTCAATGACACTCATCGACGCTAATCGACGCCAGATCGGCGCTATCACATCGACTCCAGACGCCAATCGGCGCTGAGGACGGAAGTCATAGGATGTACAAGGCTCCCATGATTTGCTAACAGAGCAAATGGCGCCTCCAGGCACTAAGGTCGCAACTGTTGAGGTACGTTTGCGCCCCTCCCTACGGCCGTTTGCGTTGGCCGAGGGACCGTGGGGAGGGGCGCAGAATTAGGTCGGGCGTGTCCCCCTACAGGCCGATTTGGGATGAAGAATTAAACATATTCCAAACATGCACCCACCATGCTCAAACATGGTCAAGAAATCGTCCCCAGACTATTTTTGGACTATTTTTGAATACTCCCCCTGTAGAGGGACAGGCCCGACTTAGGCGCAGATATGGATGGGACGCACAGAGACGTACTAGTACTATATATTCTCCTTGGAGGCGCGCGTCCGACCCGAACATATAGTATACCCTTCTTGTAGCATATTCTTTCCCGAGCGGTGTGGCGAGAAAGCGCCGGCCGCGACACATATACTATGAGATTTCTCGGTGCGCGCGTCGCCGCCTGGGGGGGGCGATGCACAGATACAGTCAACCCGTATAGTAAGGATGCGCGATAAGGATGCAAGGGCCATGGACGCCCATTTCGAAGATCTTCGAGCGGGCCGCGGCCAACGAAAGCGGCCAAGGATGGGTCGAGAAGGCAAGGATGCAAGGATACCCTTGGGAAGGTTGCCGATCCTTACTATGCTGGGTGACTGTAGTGTACGTATGTTGGGGTGACGCCGAATGGAGTTCGGCGGCGACGATAGTGGCGAACAGCCCAGGAGCGGGCATTACACGCATTCGCCCGGGAGCCTTTTTCGAAGACATAGATCATCGGCGCACCTGCGTACGCGAATTTTGCTCCCCCCTGGGGCTCTTCGCCCCTCTCGTCGCCCCTGAGGAGCGGAGGGACGGAGCGGGGTGGGACGCGCGAGGGTCCCGGCGGCGGAGATGGACGAGGCGCGCGCACGGAGCGGAGTGCCCGACGGGGGGAGAGTGCGCGCAGCACCGGAGAAGCGGGGCGTGCGCAGGGCTCCTCGCCTCTTGGCGGCCTCTGCGGCACGCACCCCCACCACAGGAGGGGGATTTGGGGCGCGTCCCCCGTGCAAGGGGGCTTTTGGGCGGAAGGTTTAACATGACCCAGGAATGCTGAAAAAACTGTCAAAAAATGCAAAACATAGTCCCCAGGCTATGTGGGACTCTTTCTGAATATTCCCCCTGTAGAGGGACGGGCCCGACTTAACACTGGAGCGGCCGTTCGCTGCTCGTGAGAGGGGGCACCTCCTCAGGCCGAGCACGATCGTCCCACCACCGTCGAGGCAGGGCGAGCCGAAGACTCCGGAGGGGGGCCGACGTCCGGTTCCCAGGAGGGGGCCAGCCAAGCGAGGGCCATCGACCCATCGAGGAGCTTCTTGAGCGAGAGGGAGAGAATAAACACGCCCACACACAAACAACAACAAAAAAGAGAAGACATGACAGAGAAAGAGAGAGAGAGAGAGCAATAGAGAGCGGGAGTGACATTTGAAGACGGCAAGAAAGAGAGAGGGCGCAAGCCTAGCCATACTCTGGCTGCGCCAAGCGCTCTGACACCATGCGATGCTGTTCCCTGGTTGTGCCGTGCTGCGCCATGTATGCAGTACGCGCTGTCTTCATTTAGTTGACGACACACAGACTTCAGAGCTCTCCCTGCCTCCTCCTCTTCCTCCTCCTCTTCCTGAACAAAAGAGAAGGAGAAGCGGAGATGGGAGGAGCGCCGGGCGGAAGAGCTCTCCGCTAGGCTACCGTCTTGCGTTTTGTGTGCTGCCTTTGGCTGATTGTCTTTTGTCGTTATTCGCTTCTTACAGTCGACCCATATCATAAGGATTCACGATAAGGATGCAAGGGCCTTTGAAGGCCATGTTGACACTTTGCGAGCGGGGAGCGAACGCGGCCAACGATGGACCGAGGAGGCCAGAATGCAAGGGTAGGTACCCTTGGAAAGGTTGGCCATCCTTTTTATGCGGGTTGACTGTAGGCAACTGCCTTGCGTTTTGTGCGTGTTGCCTTTAGCTGCTTGTCTCTTGTCGCTACTTGCGGTTTGCTATAAAAAAAGGCCTGGAACGCACCAAGAGCATCGGGGGGGCGAGAGGTCGCACAGGTTCATTGTCGCTGTCGGATGCCCCAGGATCCCCGCACGATGCCACAGCACAGCCAGGAGGGCCCAAATGGCATCGATATTGGCCCAAGGAGACTCCGATGAGGGTTCCAAGGGCCCAGGACGACCGATGATGGCCCCAAGATGCCTCTGAGGTGGCCCAAGAAGACCCCCCCCCAGGACACCGCACGAGAAGGAAACACACATTGACAAACATGTGGATTTCAATGGTTTCCCCTGCTCCAGGGCTGACTACTAAGGTGCCCAAATATTTTTGCAAGACGGCCCCCACATATTCCGAGATTGCCCAAGCGGGCTCGAAGGTGCCCTCCCCAGAAGGTCCCAGTATGCTGCCCACGTCGCCCTCGATGGACCACCGAGGCCCTGGAGGGGCCCCTGGACGCCCTCAAGCTGGATCCAGGAGGCCTCAAGATGGCCCCGGGATGGCCTCATATGGCCCGGCGATGGCCCCAAAAGCTCCAAACATTGTCTGATAGCCCAAGCCATGTTCCGAGATAGCCAGGAGATGGCTCAGCCTTGCAAGGGGGACAGGAAGGTACAAACATACACACGCCCCCCCCCCCCACACACAGCCATACACACACACACACACCCGCACACACAGACACACACACACACAGACACACACACACACACACACACACACGCACGCACGCACGCACGCACGCACGCACGCACGCACGCACACATACACACACACACACACACACACACACACGCGCGCGCGCACACACGCGCGCGCCCCCCGCCCCCCGCCCGCCCGCCCGCCCGCCCGCGCGCCCGCGCCCGCGCCCGCGCCCGCGCCCGCAAGCGCACCCGCACCCGCACCCGCACCCACACCCACACCCACACCCACACCACACACCCACACCCACACCCCACCCCCCCCAGCCCCACCCCCACCCGCACTTCCCCCCCCCACCCCCCCACCCCCCAACCCCCCACCCCCCCCCCCCACACACAAACACACACACACACACGCACACGCACACGCACACGCACACGCACACGCACACGCACACGCACATGCACACGCGCACACACACACGCGCACATTCTTCGAGTGGGGAATCGACTACATATATGTATATGCTAGGGGCCGCTCCTGTGATCAACATTTCTCTTGTTGTTTCATATGTTGCCCTTTCTCGTTTCAGCTGTGTTGCCCGTCTGTCTCTTAAATTCCTTATCCATTGTTCGAATCATTATTTGAATGTTCGTCTTCGTCGCAATGTGTTGGTTTTGTTCGTTTTGATCGCAGGGGTGGGCAGTGCGCACGGATCACCACAGGGTTCCCAAATCCACCGGGAACACTTGGGATGTATCGCATGGGTTCCTCAGAAAATCTTCTGGGCATTTGGAAGATTTGAAGGGTCTCAGAGGAACAGGAGGAAGATGAGGATGAGGAGGATGAGTTTGAAGAGGAGGAGGGCGACGAGCAGGAGGAGACACAGAAGGAGGACGAGGATAAAAGAAGAAGAGGATGATGATGAGGAAAGGATTTGTCACAGAGCTGCGTGAGCCCCGTCGAAGCTTGGAATGGGGGCAGCTGGGATTGGACGCGCGGGGCTGCGCCAGGCCGTGTTGGGAGCCTGCGGTGATATCTGCTGGCGTTTGGCGAAACCCGTTGCTGTACCTGGGCTGTGGGTGGGGGTATTTGGGGATGCCTCTCAAGGGCCTCGTGGAGAGCTCTTCGGGGCATCCGGGACGTTTGTTATGGGCTCTCGGGGGCCTTTTGGGGAGGTCGGGACGGCGTGTTGGAGGCTTCTCGCAATGTTCGAGTCTACTTGACTCTACTTGCTCATTGCCCCTACTCCTACTCGTATCCCCGTAACGTCTTCTCCTCATCCGTCCGTTTCTGTTTCTCCTCCTTCTTTCTGCTTCGTCCCCCTTCTTGTTCCCCGCCTCTCCGTCATGGTCTCTACGCCTTCTCTCTCTCGCTCTCTCTCTCTCTCTCTCTCACTCTCTCTATATCTCTCTGTCTCTTCCTCCCTCCCCGAGGGAGATCTGCCTGCTATGGACGACGATGCGTGTGACCTTGCTGGCGGCGGAGCTGGGGCGCCGAAAAAAGGAACGCGCCGAATGTATGCGCGGCCGAAGAAGATGAACATAAAGAAATGGTCTGCTCTGTGGAGAAGAACTTTGTGCGGATCTCAAATAGAACCATGTCGTGGGGAATTGCAAGTTGATTCCTATTGTTTAGGAGTCGATTGAATTCCTCATGTGCAGGCTTACACATTGAATTCTTGTGTGTGGCTCTGAAATAAAGGTCTTGTGGGTAATTGCATTTTGATTCTTGTTGTGTAGGATACATTTGAAATCCTGTTTGTGCGGACTTACACATTCATTCCTGTTGTGCGACCTTCAAAACGAATTCCTTGGTGCGTGCCTCCAGGGGGAGGGGAAGGGAGGGGGGCGGGTTGGCCGACGCACAAAAACATACCAACAAAAAACAACTTGGATGACCAAACGCGCTGTGTTTTTATTGTACAAGTTTTTTATCGTAAACACAAGAACACAATAACCAAAAAAAAATTGAAGCAAGGAAAACCGGTGTTTTCACTGTGTTTGCGCATTTACAAGTTGAATCAGGTTGTGTGGCTCTCAAATGAAATCATTGCGCGGGGAAGTACAAGTTGATTCTTAGTGCGTCGGATACAAAATTGAAGTCCTTTGTGCAGACTCACACATTGATTCCTTTTGTGCGGCATTCAGATAGAATTCCTTCGTGCCTGCCGCCAGGGGGAGGGGAGGGATGCGGGTTGGCCACGCAATAGGAATCAATCTGCAAGTCCGTACAAAACGATTTCAATTGACTCCCACACAACAGGGATCAATGTGTAATCCCCCACAACGGATGTCATGTCAGAGCCACACAAAATGATTGAATTTGCAAATGCGCAAAAACGGTGAAAACCCAGCCGCACCTTGCTTCCAAGTTGGTTTTTTGTTTGTGGTTTTTTGTGTTTACAAAGCGAGAACCACTTTATAATTTAAAAACGCAACGTGCTTGGTCCTCCAAATTGGTCTGTTTTTGCATTTCTTCGTCGGCCGGACCGCCTCCTCCCCCCCTCGAGGCAGGCACAAAGGAAATTGATTTGAAGGCCGCACAAAAGGAATCAATTGTAAAGTCTGCACAAACGGATTTCAATTGAATCCTACACAATGGGAATCAATGTGTAGTTCCCCTCAAATGGATTCTATGTGAGAGCCACAGAAAAGAATCCAATGCGTAAGTCAGCGCAAAAGGATTTCAACTGATTTCTACACGTTAGGAATCAATTTTTTATTTCCCACATAAGGATTTTTATTTGAGAGCCACACAAAAGGATTCAATGTGTAAATGCGCAAACATTGTGAAACACAGGTTTCATTTGCTTCCAAGCTGTGTTTTGGGAGGGATTTAAAGCCATTTTACAATTAGAAACACAGAAGTTGTTGGTCTGCTAAGTTGTCTGTTTTGTCTGTTTTGTCGTGTGTTGGTTAATTTTTGTCCGTCGGCCAGCTCGCCTCCCTCCCCCCCCTAGAGGCAGGAGGCAGGCACAGAAGAATTGTATGTGAAGGCCACACAACAGGAATCAGTTCGTATGTCTGCACAAACGGATTTCGATTGTATCCTACACAATAGAAATCAATGTGTAGTTCCCTACATGAGGATTTGAATGGAGAGCTACACGCAAGAATTCAAGGTGTAAGTCAGCACAGAAGGATTTCAATTGTTTTCTATACAATAGAAGTCAAGTTGTAATCCCCCACAAAAGGATTTATACTTGAATGCCACACAAAAGGACTCACTTTGCAAATGCGCAAACATTGTAAAAACAAAAGTTTTCCGGGCTTCCAGATTGACTTGTTGTGGGCTTTTCGGTTTACCATTA